CTTCTGATCCAGCTCTCTACTGTGGCCTGGGAAAGCAGTACAAGATGGCCCAAGTTCTTGGACCCCTGCACCCATGAGGGAGATTTGGGAGAAGCTCCTGGCTCCTGGCTTTGGATCAGCTCAGCTCTGGCCATTTGGGTAGTGAACCAGTGGATGGAAGACCCCTTTCTCTCTGGCTCTACCTCTCTCTGTAACTGTCTTTCAAATAAATCTTTAAGGAAACAAGGTGATTTTTAAGTATAACAAAATATATCTTTAATATATCTTTTTGCTATGTCCTTTTCAAATGTATTACAGTATTCTGTGTATTAGATTTTTTTTTTTTTTTTTGACAGGCAGAGTGGACAGAGAGAGAGACAGAGAGAAAGGTCTTCCTTTTGCCGTTGGTTCACCTTCCAGTGGCCAGCGTGCTGCAGCCGGCGCACCACGCTGATCCGATGGCAGGAGCCAGGAGGCAGGTGCTTTTCCTGGTCTCCCATGGGGTGCAGGGCCCAAGCACCTGGGCCATCCTCCACTGCACTCCCTGGCCACAGCAGAGAGCTGGCCTGGACGAGGGGCAACTGGGACAGAATCCAGCACCCCGACTGGGACTAGAACCCGGTGTGCCAGGGCCGCAAGGTGGAGGATTAGCCTCGTGAGCTGCGGCGCCGGCTGTGTGTATTAGATTTTTAATATTCTAGTGGTAGGTACTCACTAGAATGTTCTTATTCTGAAAGTCTTATACAGACACTTTGTCAGTATTGGTAGCTTTCCAGGTTTTTACCTCTAGAGATGTGGTAGGGGCTCTCCTAGCCAATGCTCCAGTGAACCTGGCTTTTTTTTTTTTTTTACATAAAGTCTTCAGATTGTTGAGGAATTTGTAGCCAGCTGTGAAAGGGAATATTACTCCTTTCTCTCCATCATAGCCAGGTGAGCTTTCCAAACCTCAAATCTTGTTATTTGCCTACTTAAAATCATAATTTGTTTCCCAAACTTTTATAAACTGAGAGTACCCTGTTTATACCATCAGACCATGCCTGTCTTTTCACCCCCAACTTTTGCCTTCTGCATGCAGCTCTTTAGAGCACTTGGGTCTTCTTTCAGATGCCACACTTGTGTTTTTTCTTGTCACAGGACTTTTTTTCTTTTTTTTGACAGGCAGAGTGGACAGTGAGAGAGAGAGAGACAAAGAGAAAGGTCTTCCTTTGTCGTTGGTTCACCCTCCAATGGCTGCCGTGGCTGGCGCACCGCGCTGATCCGATGGTAGGAGCCAGGTACTTATCCTGGTCTCCCATGGGGTGCAGGGCCCAAGCACTTGGGCCATCCTCCACTGCACTCCCAGGACACAGCAGAGAGCTGGCCTGGAAGAGGGGCAACCGGGACAGAATCCGGCACCCCGACTGGGACTAGAACCCGGTGTGCCGGCACCGCAAGGCGGAGGATTAGCCTAGTGAGCCGTGGCACCGGCCAGTCACAGGACCTTTAATAGACTGTTCCCTCTTCCTAGAATGTTCATTTTTCTACTCCCCTAAACTGTGTGATTCCTTGAAATCTCAGCTTAAGCACCACCTCAGGGACAGCTCTTTTGCTTCCTTAGTCAACATTTGGTTTCCTTGTTTTATGCTTCTTTGTACCTTTCTTTCTTAGCCTTTTGCAAAAATATACTTGGTCTGCTCTATTATATAAATGCTCCATTAGAATGACGCTACATTTGTCTGCCATTGCATTTGCAGCTTCTTGCATAATGGATTGCATATTTTTGTGTTTAAGAAATATGTATGGAATGAATTGCTGATTTTTTTTTTTTTTTATTGAATCCTTCCTTTGGATTTTGTGCAGTTGCCTACTTGGGTGCTAATAAGCCCTCAGGAGCAGCTACCTTAGGATATTTAGACAGTTGTTTAAAACTGGAAGTTAAAATGTAGGATGGATTGGGGGCCGGCACTGTGGCTCACTTGGTTAATCCTCTGCCTGTGGTGCCAGCACCCCATTTGGGCATCGGATTCTAGTCCTGGTTGCTCCTTTTCCACTCCAGCTCTCTGCTGTGGCCTGGGAGGCAGTGGAGGATGTCCCAAGTGCTTGGGCCCCTGCACCCACGTGGGAGACCAGGGGGAAGCACCTGGCTCCTAGCTTCGGATCAGTGCAGTGCTGGCCGTAGCGGCCATTTGGGGAGTGAACGAACGGAAGGAAGACCTTTCTTTCTGTCTCTCTCTCTCACTGTCTAATTCTGCCTGTCAAATAAAAAAAAAAAATAGGATGGATCCATGCTTATTTTTTATAATTTAATATATTTTTAAATTGAGGTATAGTTTGCATAGATGCACAGGAATCATAATTACATCATAGAATCCATTTTTACGTGAAGGAAAGAGTATTTGGGGAGGGCTGGCACTGTAGTGCAGCAGATTAAACCACTGCCTACAGAGCCAGTATTGCATATGGGTGCCAGTTTCAGTTTTGCTTACTACAGTTCTGATCTGACTCCCTGCTCATGCACCTGGGAAAGAAACAGAAGATGACTCATGGTGTTGGACCCCTGCACCCATAGGGGAGACCTGGATTAAAGCTCTGGCTTTGACTTGACCCAGCCCTAGCTTTTGTGGACATTTGAGGAGTGAACCAGCAGATGGAACATCTCTCTCTGTTTCTTCCTCTCTCTCTGTATCTCTGCCTTTCAAATAAATAAATGAATCTTTTTTTTTTTTTTTTTAAGAGTACTTAGGAGCCTGGCATTATGATTCAGTGGGTTAACCTGCCACTTGCAACACTGGTATCCCATGTTGGAGTCCACTTCTCATCCTGCTCCCTGCTGATTTGGCTGGGAAAGCAGCAGGGGATGGCATATATATATATATATAGAGAGAGAGAGAGAGAGAGAGAGAGAGAGAGAGAGAGAGAGAATTTAGTACCATTCAACTAGTTGATACTGGAAGGAAGAAAAAAGAATGCGGACAGTGCTTTGAACAATCATTAAAATGTAGGAATTTTACATAGTTTCTTCTTTGAAGAACATTATAAATTTGGGTTTATAGTTCTTAATTTTGTAAAGTTGCTTTTAAGAGACATTTTTTAACATGAATTTTTAAAGATCTCTTATGTATTCTATTTATTTGAAAGACAGACAGAGACCTCCCATCTGCTAGTTCACTCTCCAAATGCCTACAACATCCAGAATGGGGCCAGGTCAAAGCAAGGAGTTCCGAATTCAATCTGGGCCCCTCACTTGGGTGGCAGAGACTCAAGTACTTGAGCTACCTGCTGCCTACCGAAGTGCATATCAGTAAGAAGCTCAAAGGGGCAGGCATTGTCAAACAGCAGATTAAGCCGCTGCCTGTGATGGCTGCATCCCACATGCACATTGGTTGAATCCTGGCTACTCTACTACCACCCAGCTCCCTGCCAATATGCCTGGGAAGGCAGCCAAGGAAGGCCCAAGTCCTTGGGCCCCTGCACCCACATGGGAGACCTGGGTGAAGATGCTGGCTCCTGGCTTTGGCCTGGCCCAGCCTTAGCTGATGTGGCCATTTGGGGAATAAACCAGTTGATGGAAGACTTTGTCTCTGTCTTTGACTCTCTCTCTCTCTCTGTTTGTAACTCTTTCAAATAAATAAATAAATCTTTGGAAAAAAAAAAAAAAAAGAAGCTGGAATGGAGAATAGTGTGAGGACTGAAATGCGGGTACTCTTATGTGGAATGTGAGTGTCCCAAGCAGCAGCCCAACTGCTGCACCCAACACCTGGCCCCCCAAGTGAGAGTTTTTAGAGTCAGGGTCTATTAGTGGGCCATAGTAGATTTATGAACTCCTTGAAGTAGTTTGTTTGCAAAATTGTCTACATGTGGGTCTCAGAATTACCGTTTTCTGAAGTTGGAATCCATAGTTTTGTTTGTATCTCAAAGCGGTCTATGACTTCCCACTTAACCCCCTCCTAAACAAAAAAGTAAGGATTATTAGTATTTTTTACATCAGAACTTGTATGTAGTACTAGCTCATCAATCCTTTTATTATCGTTTTACTGTTGATTGTGGAACATTTCAAACCTATATAAAAGATATAGTGTAATTAAACTTGTGTATCCATTACTCAACTTCAATGACTATTAACTCATGGCCACAATCATTTTTCATCTATATCTAAAGTACAGCTCCCCTCCAATTATTTAAAAGCAACCCAGAACCCAGGCATCATTTCACCAGTAAATATTTCAGTATTTATCTCTAGGAAATAAGGACTATTAAAAAAAAAACTAACTATAACACCACTATCAAATATAGAAATAAACTGGAATATTTTTTAATATTATCAAATAACCAACTGTGTTCAACATTGGGTAGCTGTGTCTTTTTATTGTTTGAATCAAGATCCAAATATACTTCATACTTTGATTGTTGACATATTTTTTACACCTCTTAATTTGGGAGTTCCCTCACTTTCTTTATTATCTTGCAATTTATCTGAAGAAGTCATGTCTATTTAAAAAAATTATTTATTTATTTATTTGTTATAATGAGCTCCTCTCTCTACTGGTTCACTCCTCAAAGATCCACTAATGGTGAGGATAGGGCTGGGCCAAAGCTGGGACCTGAGAACTGTAGCCAGATCTCCCATGTGGGTGGCAGGAACACAGTTACTTGAGCCATCATCACTGCTTCCCCATATTCCTCCATTAGCAGGAAGCTCTTTGATATTCAAATGTTTTATGATGTATAGCTTTTCCTGGCTGTATATTTGATAATAACTTCTAGTATAGACTATGTGTTTGTCTTGAATAATGTAAATATGGTTTGATTTCACTCAGGGCAGTTATCTTTGCCACTTTGAAGTATAGTTCCTGGGAAAAATCTGAAAGCGTTAGAATGATAGGTTTCAAGTGAAAAATATTGTTTTAGTTGTACTTTAAATTAAAAGCAAGACTTTATCTAAAATATGTACTGGATGAGTGTCTTTCAAGTAAAAGGCACATATAATATACCTGCTTCTGTTAGTAATGCTATCCTTAGGTTCATTGCTTTCTTTCTTTTAGAGATAAGGAATAGACAGTAAAAGAAGATGCTGGGATCTGAACGTGGTGTTGTGGAAGAATGGCTATCAGAATTCAAGGTAAGTTGGATTGGGGATAAGATTGCATTATATAATTCTATATTTCAGTAATTCAGATGGCAAATATGTGTCCCATGGGAAAGCATAAATGTGATATGAAGTAGAAATGAAAAATATGGTGCTGGTGCATGCAGTGGATTAACGCCCTGGCCTAAAGCGCCGGCATCCCATATGGGCGCCGGTTTGAGACCTGGTTGCTCCGCTTCCTGTCCCGCCCTCTGCTATGGCCCAGGAAAGCAGTAGAAGGTGGCCCAAGTCCTTGGACCCCTGCACCCACGTGGGAGACCCAGAAGAAGCTCCTGGCTTCAGATTGGCACAGCTCCGGCCGTTGCGGCCATCTGGGGAGTGAACCATCAGATGGAAGACCCCTCTCTCTCTCTCTCTCTCTCTCTCTCTCTCTCTCTCTCTGCCTCTCCTCTTTCTGTGTAACTCTGACTTTCAAATAAATTAATAAAAAAAAAGAAATGTAAAAATACAAAATGACATGTTTCTATAATTGCAATTTTTTTAAAGATTTATTTGTTTTGAAATTCAGAGTTACAGAAAAGGAGAGGCAGAGAGAGAGAGGTCTACCATTTGCTGGTTCACTCCCCAGATGGCTGCAACATCTGGAGCTGTGCCAATCTGAAGCCAGGAGCCAGGAGCTTCTTCTGGGTCTCCCATATGGATGAAGGGGCCCAAGCGCTTGGGCCATGGTCTGCTGTTTTCCCAGGCACATTAGCAGGGAGCTGGATTGGAAGTGGAGCAGCCTGAATTCAAATTGTTTCCCATATGGGATGTAGGCATCACAGGGGGTGGCTTAACCCACTATGCTACAATGCTGGCTCCTGTAATTGCAGTTTTTCAAAAAGGCACTGGTAGGGTCCTGCATGTTGGCGTAGTGGGCTAAGCCTCTGCCTGCAGTGCTGGCATCCCATGTGGGCACCAGTTCAAGTCCTGGCTGCTCCTCTTCCAATCCAGCTCTCTGCTATGTCCTGGGAAAGCAATAGAAGATGGCTCAAGTGCTTGGCCCCTGCACCCATGTGGGAGACCCAGAAGAAGCTCCTGGCTTTGGATCACCCCAGCTCTGGCTGTTGCAGCCATTTGGGGAGTGAACCAGCAGATGGAAGACCTTTCTCTCTGTCCCTCTCTCTGTCTGTAACTTTGCCTCTCAAGTAAATAAATAATATCTTAAAAAAAAAAATAAAAAGGCAGTAATGCGAATAAGGGCTAGAAGATAATGTGTAAAAACAAAGAGCTGTTAGAATCATTGAATGAATATTTAAATTTTAAGATAATATTCAATAAAAGTGAGGAGCCTCTTAAGTTTTCATAAAGCACAAAAATTAGATTTGTGCCTTAGCCTTTTCCTTCTTGTATTAAAATTCAAATTGTTTTGATTAAAAATTATAATTTATGAACATTGTAGAAATAAATGCTATGCAAAAATGTAAATGCAAAATTTGAAATACATGCTACTTTATTTTTAGGTTACACTAAGTTAAGGTGGCCCACTTCAGTGAATCAAGGTGTAATGTGTGATTTCTTACTATTTTTCATGGTTCATTATTTAGAAGAGTTACATAATGTAACATCCCAGTTTAATTTGTTTTATTTGCTCTGTGGTTGTCATATTATTCTTACTTTTCTTACTCAATTCTGTTGTAAATTTTTAAGGAGACATGTGTGTAAAATAAATGCCCCAACTTTCCAGATTTTAAATTCACATTTTTTTCCTTTGGTGGTTTCTTTTAGGCATTACCTGACACTCAGATCACCAATTATGCAGCAACTTTACACCGGAAAAAAACACTTGTTCCAGCCCTCTATAAAGTTATTCAAGATTCAAATAATGAGGTAGGAGAGTTTGGAAGAAGACTGAGTTTTGCATAGGAAAAAGAAATGTGTACTAAAACACATACATGTAAAATATGTAGCTTTCTCTCCTTGTGGATGTGGAAAATTTTCTTTGTGCTGTTTTTCATTCTGATAGTTGGCTTTGGCTTTCCCCATTCCCTTCCTTTCTGTATTTTAAAATGTTTTCGTTAAGATTTTTCCCAAGGGCAATATGTTTTGATTCTTGATTTGAGTGACCATCATCTCAGTGTATCATTTATTTAATTTGTAATGATTTTGTTTCTTGTTCTGGAATATTTCCTACCATGGAAGCCAAATTTTAATTGTATATCGATCCAGCTTTATTTTAAGTATTATTTACTGTTATTTTGTTGATAATATAGAACAACTATGTAAAATCACTCTAATCAGTGAAATCAAGCTTACAACACAAAATGATACTGCTAGTAAATTTGGTCTGAAAAATGATCAGAGGAAGGATTTTTTAGTTTACATAGTCAAGATCAATAAGCCTAGATTATGAATTTCCTATTACTCAGCCTTCTCATAAGAAAAAAATGGAACTGTTGAATCTGTTACCTAAGCCAGATGCACACATTATCTTTCCATTAACACAATAGTATAACATAGTTTTATCAGCACTGGAATCATGAATGCTTTAAAATGAAAATGAAAGGAACACACAGGAAAGTAGCTTCTTATCTTCCCAGATACAGCCTCCAAGAGTGCCTCTGCTGTGTACTGGAGTGAGTTTGAAGAAGTTCAGGTAATCATCTCCTAACCAGCAGCTTAACTTAAAAGTGCATCTTCATTTTTGTCCTATCACTAAAAGCTTGCTTATTGACCTCTTTCCTTCCTATCTCCTAAATTTGGATTTGTTCCCAGTTATGCTTGCACGTGTTGCTATATATGTATAGCAACAATTGCGGGATTCTTTTGTTTCTTCTTCTCTTGCTGTGTATTACTGAATGTTTTGTAACTTTAGGATGGGAAATGTACACATACACATATCATTCTTAGGAGTTTTCAGAATTATGTGTTTGAATAATGAATGTGTGTGTATCTTACCCATTGTTTTGTGCTGTCTTAACATTTAAGCTTTGCTTATTAAAATTTGCTTGTTTTATGCTTTCTTTTTAGATTGTAAGCTCTTAATGGGCAGTGGTCATATATCCTATATTTGTTAATTCCCTAGAATCTGGTAATTTATCATGTACATAATGGATATGTAATAAATGTTGGTTAAACAGTGAAATATTAAAAATATACTAAAATGCTGTCATTTCATTAGTAACCGCCCTTTAAGTACTTTGAAAGCTATAACATTAAAAAAGTTATTCTCATTACTCTTTATTGTCATACTTAATAATTATTAATGTTTAGGACCATGGGGTCATGGCTAGAAATGGAAAAATTACAATTTGAGGGATCCAAGCTCAAGACTCTGCATTTATTATAATCAACTAGTTGCTACATTAGGTCTAAATTCCCATCCAAACCTTACCTAAAGAATGTTTAGAATCTCAAAACAGTTCTGGATTTCACTAATAGGAGACCCTTTTTGTCTTGATTTTGTTGTGTTCTGAAACGTAATCAAATGTATTATTTAGGGGCAAGCATTTGGTGTGGTGGTTATGATGCCACTTGGAATGCCCACATCCTAAATGGGAGGACCTAGATTCCAGTCCCAGCTCTGCTCTTAAGTCTAACTTCAGAGTAATGTGCACCTCTGGAAATAATAGGTGATGGCTCAAGTACTTGCGTCTCTGCCACCCATGTGAGTAACAATGTTACTTAGTTGAAGTGAGTCATTTATTATATTGAAAATTTGAAGACATGGTGGCATGATACAAATGCTTAGTATAAAAGATTTTAACAGATAACATTGGCAGATTTTTAGCAGTTGTATTTGGTAGTAGCATATGATTAAAATTTGCCAACAACCATCTGCTCTCTCTTTTAAAAGTAATAGTTATAATAACTTTTGAAACATATGTTGTTATTATGATTAATTAAAATATCGTGCCCTATATGCTAGTATACATTTTCCTACTGAGGAAGGGAGGTTAAGGTCTTTGTAACAGAAACTCATTTTAATTGCATCATGGCCGTGAAATTTAAAGGTGGTAATCTAGAGAATCTTTCACCAAATAGTCAGTTTGAATCCTAAATATTTTTATAAATATTTTCTTTATTCATTTGAAAGTCAGAGCTAGAGAGAGCTTCTATCTGCTGGTTCACTCCCCAACTGGCTGCAACGGCCAGGGCTTGGCCAAGCCCAAGCCAGGGCCCAGGAGCTTCTAGTGGGTCTCTCTTGTTGGTACTGAAACCCAAGCACTTGGGTCATCCTCTGCTGCTTTTCCAGGTATATTAGGGAGTGGGATCAGAAGTGGAGCAGCCAGGACTCTAACTGGCACCCATATGAAATGCCAGCACTGTAGATAGCAGCTTAACATGCTAACCTACAATTCTGGTCCCCAGCTAGAATATTTCTATCAGTATTTAAGAAAAATGCCAGGAATTTACTATTTTCAGAAGTTTATTGTTCATTATTTGCACTGCGTGGAATATACTATTTGTATTGAAACAGATCTTAACTCTTTTTTTTTTTTGTAACAAATATATTAGAATGGAAATATCAACTTGATGTTGGAGGCTTTAATGTATTCCTCCACCACTGAATTCTGTGGAATTATTAATTTACTAATTCATACTTAAGTATAAGGGAAGAGTTGGGGGGCTGGTGTTGTGGCATACTGGATAAAGCTGCCATCCTTGATACCAGCATCTCATATGGGCTCTGGTTTGAGTCCCAGCTGCTTCAGTTCCCATCCAGCTCCCTGCTAATGGCCTGGGAAAAGCAGCAGAGGGTGGCCCAAGTATTCGGGCCCCTGCATCAATGTGGGAGATCTGAAGAAGCCCCTGGCTCCTGGCTTCCACCTGGCCCAGCCCTGGCTGTTGTGGCCATTTGGGGAACTGAACTAGCAGATGAAAAATCTTTCTATCTCTCCCTCCCTCTCTCTGTTAACTCTGACTATTTTATTCAAATATTTTTTAAAAAGGAAGAGAAATGGAATTTTTTTTAAAGATTTTTAAACTATGCTTTGATAATGATCACATAAAGGGCTTAGTATACAATAGAATATGTGTACATGTATATATATATATTTTTTTTTTTTATTTGAGAGGTGGAGCTGCCATCTACTGATTCACTTTTCAAAGCTTGCAACAGCTGTGTGCTAGGGGCCAAAGCTGGGAGCTAAGAACTCAATCCAGGTTTCCCACATGGGTGGCACGAACCCAGTTACTTGAGCCAACACTCAAGTAATTGCATTAATAGGAAGCTGGAGTCAGGAGCTGGAGCTATGGATCTAACTCAGGCACTGTGATATGGGGTGCATGTGTCTTAACCACTAGGCCAAATACACATTCCTGAGTGTAAATTTTTTAAGATTTAGATTTGTTCTTCAAGGGCTAAACTTAACTCACCTAAATATTAATAACTGTACAATCTGCATAAATTTGCTGAGTTTTAATTTTGTGATTGTGAAAGTAGTGACTTTCAGAGTGTTAGAGTATTAGAGACTTGTATAACTATACTGAGTACTGTATGTGTTATTTTATGCATGTGAAATTACTGAACTATTCATTTTTTAAAGTTAGTGTTAAATTTTAATTTTAAAGTGATGTATAGTTTCTTGTATTTTATATGCATTTTAAAGTCATAGCCAGTTTTGTGCAGACTGTTGCTCTAGCAAAACCATTCTAAATTTTCAGTACGTGTTCAGGGAGAAATGGAAACATTTATGTTAACTGCTCATTTTCTTCAGATTTCTAGATCAAGAAGCTCCTCATAGGTTGTATTCTGTGATGTGATAAGTGACAAATTAGCTAATTAAACATTGGAAAAGCTATATCTATATACTTTTCCTTCCCTTCAAAATCTTTCAAATTAGTATAACTAATGAAATATAAGTCAATTTTAAAACATATAGTCTGCTTGATGTATTTGAATGTATTTAAAATATTAGCCAGAATTTTGCATGCCCAACTATGTACAGCAAAATCCTTTCCTCTGCTTAGTGGTATATGATTTGTTTAAATCATCATCTTACTTGAGGTTGAAAGTTTATTTCCAATAAAACCATTTGAAATTAATTTTATTCCAATGAAAATTTTTAGAAATGATGGAGCAGTAACAGTTGGTAAGAACAGAAAGGAAAACTCACCAAATGTAAATATAGTACCTTGGATGAAAAAAAAAAGCTCAGTTAAATGATTAATTTAGTGGAAGGGTGTATCGAAATTTATGTAATATTATATATGTAAAAGATGCTTCTTAGAGTTAATGGATTGGTGAATTTAATATGTGATCCTTTTCTATACATAGGTATTAAAGGTTTTGGTTGAATTAACTCAATTTGGAGTTAATTATAAAATATGCAGATGAATGTGCCTTTTTAAAAAATACAGTTACACCACAAAAGGGAAATAACTAATATGCTTTATTTTCCTTTTAGCTCCTGGAGCCTGTCTGCCACCAACTGTTTGAGCTGTATCGCAGCTCCGAAGTTCGACTTAAGAGGTTCACACTGCAGTTTTTGCCAGAATTGATGTGGGTTTATTTACGGCTTACAGTTAGCCGAGACAGACAGAGTAATGGTTGCATTGAAGCACTTCTTTTAGGAATTTACAATTTGGTAAGTTGAAAGTGATGGTTTGAGAAATTTTAAGTATTTCTTTAAGATTCTGTGAAATCATACTTTAAAAATATTTAGTGAAAAAGCCCGCTCCGCGGCTCAATAGGCTAATCCTCCGCCTTGCGGTGCCGGCACACCAGGTTCTAGTCCCGGTCGGAGCACCAGATCCTGTCCCGGTTGCCCCTCTTCTAGTCCAGCTCTCTGCTGTGGCCCGGGAGTGCAGTGGAGGATGGCCCAAGTCCTTGGGCCCTGCACCCCATGGGAGACCAGGATAAGTACCTGGCTCCTGCCATCGGATCAGCGTGGTGCGCCGACCGCAGTGCGCCAGCCGCGGCGGCCATTGGAGGGTGAACCAACGGCAAAGGAAGACCTTTGTCTCTCTCTCTCTCTCACTGTCCACTCTGCCTGTTAAAAAAAAAAAATAAATAAATAAATAAATATTTAGTGAAAAAATGTTTACTGAGTACTTTTTTTGAATTAAGTTCAGTACAGAGGTAATCTTTTTATAATTTTAACATTACTAATATTTTATGACTTATTTTTGCACATTTTATTTGACTAATATTTAGAAATTGAGTAAGGTATTGAATTGAACAATGAATATATAAAGAATCAGATTTGGTACTTGCTTTTAGGAAGCTCCCACTCTACTAGAGAATATATGTTTACAGGTAATAAGGATTGTAAAAGTTCTATGGTAACAGGACTTCAGAGAGAAACTCAGATGTTAGCTGAAGCTACAGCAAGCTTTATTGAGGAAATACTGTCTAAGCTGAGCCTTGTGAAGAGGCTGAATAGGTGAGATTTGAGGAAGTAATCAAATGAATGTAAGCAAAGAAGCAGAAAAAGTCAGAAATTAGAAAACAGTTCTTTTTGAAGCACAGAATATGTATACAAGCTGGGAAGGATGATTTCTTGTCAGTTTTAGAAAGTCTTTTTAAAGTGAAGAGTAGGTTTTCTTTAATAGGCACTGGGAAAGCAATAACAGGGTTTTGAACAGAGGTTTTGAAGATGAATCTGGTGGTAGAATTCAAAGAGACCTTGAAATTATAACTTCTATTACCATATCATATATTTTGAGGGGAAAAAGGCATGGGATTTCTGTTTCTCTAATGGGAGGGTATCAGTTAAGGGGGAAAATGTCCAGTATATCACTATAGCATATTATGATTTGAAAATTGTGAGTAATAACAGAATGGAAATGGAGGGAGAAAAGAAAACTACTAATACTTCTGAGATGCTAGATCCCTACAGAGAATTTGAAGCCTGAGATTTGATTACCTCTGCAAAGGGATGTGAGTAAACTAGAAAGAGAAGAAAGGTTGATGAGGACTGTTGGAAGCAAGGTGGAAAGACGGGAGAGAGTTTGGGAACATCTACATAGGCCCTTTTTCTCTTGTTGTTGTTGTTGTGTTAAGATTTATTTTATTATTAATTTTTTTTTTTTTTACTTATTTGACAGGTAGAGTTAGAGAGAGAGCGAGCAAGGTCTTCCTTCCATTGGTTCACCCCCCAAGTGGCCGCTACGGCCAGCACGCTGCGCTGATCCAAAGTCAGGAGCCAGGTGCTTCCTCCTGGTCTCCCATGCGGGTGCAGGGGCCAAGCACTTGGGCCATCCTCCACTGCCCTCCCGCATCACAGCAGAGAGCTGGACTGGAAGAGGAGCAGCCGGGACTAGAACCCGGCGCCCATATGGGATGCCGGCGCAGCAAGTGGAGGATTAGCCAAGTGAGCCACGGTGCCAGCCCTAAGATTTATTTATGTATTTGAAAGAGTTAAAGAGAAGTAGAGACAGAGAAACCCTCTTTCCACTGGTTCACTCCCCAAATGGCACCACAGCCAGGACTGGGCCAAGCCAAAACCAGGAACTTCAGCTCATCTCCCACGTGTGTAGCAGGGGCCGAAACACTTGGGCCATCCTTCACTGCTTTTCCCAGGCCATTAACAGGGAGAGCCAGAACACAAACCAGTGCCCATATGGAATGCCAGCATTGCAGGCAGTGGTCTTAACCACTATACCGCAGCTCAACCCCTATATAGGACCTTTTGGAACAGAATAGCACAGCATCATATTTCAAATCTTGTGTGCCTCTTACTGGAACTGAACAGTTATCTAAATTCATTAGTAAAGAATCAGAAATTTTATAAGTGTGTCAGAGTTGTTGATAGGGGGATGTTTGAGAAGCTACCAGCATGAAACTTTTGCTTCTACTTTAGGATATGAAGCTTGCTTGCATAACATGCCAGCTTCAGGTACCTTCATTGTAAAAAGTTGATATAGCGCCGGCACCGCGGCTCACTAGGCTAATCATCCACCAGTGGCGGCGGTACTCCGGGTTCTAGTCCTGGTTGGAGCGCCGGTTCTGTCCCGGTTGCTCTTCTTCCAGTCCAGCTCTCTGCTGTGATGCGGGAGGGCAGTGGAGGATGACCCAGGTCCCTGGGCCCTGCACCTACATGGGAGACCAGGAGGAAGCTCCTGGCTCCTGGCTTCGGATCGGCGCAGCTCCGGCCGTAGCGTCCATTTCAGGGGTGAACCAACAGAAGGAAGACCTTTCTCTCTGTCTCTCTCTCTCACTAACTCTGCCTGTCAAAAAAAAAAAAAAAAGTTGATATGATATAGCAATTTTTAAATTTATTAATAATTATTCGATAATATATATTTTCTACTACATTGTTATATTCTTTTTTTAAGGAATTTTAAGGAAATTCCTTTTAAGGAATTTGTAAGTACTATTATTCTATTGTTCTCTCATGATGACCAATTTAGGACATTGGTATTGAAATTCTCGCCTTTTTTTTTTTTTTTTTGACAGAGTGGGTAGTTAGAGAGACAGAGAGAAAGGTCCTCCTTTTGCCGTTGGTTCACCCTCCAATGGCCGCTGCGGCTGGCGCGCTGCTGCCTGTGCACCGTGCTGATCTGAAGGCAGGAGCCAGGTGCTTCTCCTGGTCTCCCATGGGGTGCAGGGCCCAAGCACTTGGGCCATCCTCCACTGCACTCCCAGGACACAGCAGAGAGCTGGCCTGGAAGAGGGGCAACCGGGACAGAATCCGGCGCCCTGACCGGGACTAGAACCTGGGGTGCCGGCGCCGCAAGGCGGAGGATTAGCCTAGTGAGCCGGGGCGCCGGCCGAAATTCCCGCCTTTTGAAATCTTGTGTTGCATGCATTCAGTAACAAATACTCCACATAAAGAAGTTGAGGATTTTTGTTTTAAAGATTCATTTATTTGGGGCCGGAGCTGTGGCACAGCAGGTTAACGCCCTGGTCTGAAGCGCCGGTATCCCATATTGGCGCCTGTTCGAGACCTGGCTGCTTCACTTCCAATTCAACTCTCTGCTTTGGTTGAGAAAGCAGTAGAAGATGGCCCAAGTCGATGGTCCCCTGCGCCCATGTGGGAGACCTAGAGGAAGATCCTGGTTCCTGGCTTCGGATTGGCTCAGCTCCTGTCCTTGCGGCCATTTGGGGAGTGAACCAGCGGATGGAAAACCTTTCTCTCTCTCTCCCTGTAACTCTGCCTCTCAAATAAATAAGTAAAATCTTAAAAAAAAAAAAAAAAAAAAAGAAATATAAACTACTTATTTACTAGAAAGAGACACCAAGATCTGCTACCCACTGGTTTACTCCCCACATGGCCACACAGCCAGGAACTCCATCCGGGTCTGTCACATGGGTGACAGTGGCCCAGGTACTTTGGCCGTCTTCTACTACCATCCCAAGCGCATTAGCAGGAAACTGGTTTGGAAGTAGAGTAGCCAGGACTCAAACCAGTACTCAAAGACAGGATGCCAGCATTGCAAGCAGAGACTTAATCCAGTATGCCACAGTGTGGGCCCCCTGAATATGAATTTATTTTTAATCAGTTGAGCTAACATTAATTATGTTTATATATAATGTAGTTCATTAATTTATTGCTAAATGATTGTGAGAGATTTCTTTTATTCATGAATCATTCTTAAATGTTCTTACCATAAAAGAAAAAGATAACTCTGAGATATTAGATACATTAATTAGCTTGATATTGTTAATCATTTCACAGTGTATAGATATAAGAAAATGTAAGATTATATGTCAATTATATGTGTAAATATAATTTTTATCAATAACTGAAAATTGTAAAAAAATTATTGTGTGTAAGAATAATTTGTTTTTCTTCTTTAATAAGTGTGGCTCTTTTGGCTGAGCTATTTAATTTAAAAAAAAAGATTTATTTTCTTTTAAAGATTTATTTATGTGAAAGGCAGAGTTACAGAGAGGTCGGGCAGAGGGAGAGAGGTAGGTCTTCATCCACTGGTTCACTCCCTAAATGGCCACAACAGCCAGAACTGGACCTGTCCAAAGCTAGGACCCAAGAGCTTCTTCCAGGTCTCCTACATGGGTGCAGGGGCCCAAGGTCTTGGGCCATCTTCTACTGCTTTCCTAGGCCATAGCAGAGAACTGGATCAGAAGTGGAGCAGTCAGGACTTTAATGGGTGCCCTTATAGGATGCCAGCACTGTGTTCTACACCACAGTGCCAGACCCTATTTGTTTAGTTGAAAAGCAGAATTACAGAAAGAAGGAGAGGCAGAGAGATCTTCATCTGCTGGTTCACTTCCCAAATGGCTGCAACAGGCTGAAAAGCTTCTGCTAAAGCCAGGAGCTTCATCTGTGACTCCCATATGGGTGGTAGGGGCCCAGGTATTTGGACCATTTTCCACTGCTTTCTTAGATGCAATAGCAGGGTGCTGGATTGGAAGTGGAGCTGCTAGGATTCAAACTAGTGCTCATATGGTATGCCTGTGTCATAGGCAGCGGTTTAATAAGCTGCTCCACAATGCCAGCCCTGAGACTTTTTATTTTAACATCAGCAATTTGCTCAGAGATGTTTCAACTAAAAGATTAATCACTTATAATCTCCCTGTACTCCTGTAAACATTGATTTGTGCACCTGCTTCATGTCTTTGCTCTCTTGTTGTGTTTGATTTAGTGTAGTGTTATGCTCAGTATCTGCCTATATTTGATAACTGTACTGCTAAGTTGTGTAAGCTGTTAAATTAGAAAAGGTATTTAGGATAGTAATATTGTTTGTATATTACTATTTCTAAAACTCTTCCTTAATTACCATGTTATATTCTGTATATTAAGACTGAAATTATTTCTTATAGACCTGTGATTATTTGTGGTTTTTTTGACTCTAGGAAATTGCTGATAAAGATGGAAACAATAAAGTTTTATCTTTCACTATCCCTTCCTTATCCAAGCCTTCAATATACCATGAAGTAAGTAACATTGGAAAGGTGAAATTGTTTAAAATGATAAGAGATAAAAAGTCAGTTTCTTATCCATGATAAATATTCTTCACATGTTGACTGATTTACTTCTTAAATGTATATATTATTACTTATGTAAGACTGAGCTGTGTCAAGAAGGGCAGGAAGAAATTAATGGAAAATTATCCTCTACTTCTTTTTTATTCTATAAGTGTCTATTTTTTTAAATTCTTCATGTTATTTAGAAATTACCTATTACATTGGTTTTTTAAAATCTTTAGGATAAAATGATTACTTACAGTTCTTCTAACTTCAGAAACATATCTTCAATATTGTTTGTATTTTATACAATTACAAGTAGTTATAATCTGTGTTCTGGAATACAGACAAGTTAAGTGATATACTTAATATATCTATTGATATATTTTTATTTAATCTTTAATCTTTTCAGCAACTTTTGTTAATCTTTTCTAGATATAGATTCATTCCATAATCTTTCAAAAATAAAGCAATGTATTTTTAACTTTCTGTATTTTATATATATAATTTTCAAAATGAGGCATAGAGTATATATATAAATGAGAAATGGAAAAGATTTTGAAAGATAAGAATAAATTATTTGAAACTACCTTTTATTTTCACAGAATTAATTATCATTACTTGCTGTAGATGTTTACTTTATGTTAGAGACACTGTCTCAAACTATACTTTATTTTGTAGCCCTCAACAATTGGATCCATGGCTTTGACAGAAGGGGCATTGTGTCAGCATGATCTCATCAGAGTTGTTTATAGCGATCTGCATCCTCAGAGAGAAACATTCACTGCACAAAATCGGTAATGGTCAGAACTGTAGACAGTAACAGCTGTTAGTTTATGCTTGATAGTTAACTGTAAGTATTACTTATTAGTAACTATAAGTAATTTCTTAATTATTAGTTACTCAATGAGCTTTTGAGAGAGAGAAAGAGAAGTCTTCTAACTACTACTTCACTACCCCTCATGCCCAAAGTCAGAAGCCCTATCCAGGTATCCCATGTGTGTGGCAGGGACCCAAACAAAGCAGCTCTAACGTGGGATGAGATTATCTACACATCCATCCCTTAATTACCTTTCAAAAACATTTTCCTATATCAAACCATATCAACCCAACTAGAATCTTTGAGGACAGAATCAAAAGTTCATTAAGTAACCCATGTGCCACTTTTTAGAGACTGTAAAATTGGGAAAGTATTTAGTTACCCATTTAGTAATTTACTGAGCAATTAAAATGTGTTAGACTCTGTACTGGATACTAGTGTTAGAGATTAATAAATTAGGGTCTCTCTCTGAAAGTTGCTTTTCAGGGACTGTTATTGTGGCATAGCAGATTAAGCCACTGCTCATAATGCCTGCATTTTATAAGAGCACTGGTTCAAGTCCAAGCTGCTTTATTTCCTATTTAGCTCCTAGCTAATGCTCCTGGGAAGGCAGTGGAAGATGACCTCAGTGCCTGGACCCCTGCTGCCCATGTGGGAGACCCAGATAGATTTATAGATTTCTAGGCTTCCGGCTTCCAGGCCAGGCCCAGACCTGACCTTTGTGGCCCCAGGGAGTGTGAACCAGTAGATGGAAGATTGATTGATCTCTCTAAGTCTACCTTTCAAATAAATAAGTAAACCTAAAAAAAATTTTTTTGCTTTTTACCAAGTGAGTGAAACACAAGTAAAGGCAGAAAGTTACAATTCAGTGGGAGAAATGCTAGACTAGGCTTAAAGTGAAAAGGGACCAATTTCCTTTAGCTGGGAAAATCAGTGGTCATATGACTAAGGTAAAAGTTTGACTCAAGACTTGAAACCTTAGCTGGGGTTTCAAGTAAGAAGAGTAGCATTCATAAGAACAAGGAGTTGTGAAATGTTACAGCATATTCATGGAATGGTTAAGAAAATTGATGTAGTATGATACATGATGTAGTATGATACCATGATTCATTGGAGAGAAGTAAGGCTCTCTAGAGAAGTAAGTTGAGGATAGATTTTAAAGAACCTCCATGACATAGAAAGTTAAGCCTCTGCCTGCAGTGTCAGCATCTCACATGGGCACCAGTTTGAGTCCTGGCTGCTCCATTTCCAATCCAACTCCTGGCTAATGCACCTGGGAAAGCAGAATAAGATGGCCCTGAACCCATGTGGGAGACTTGGAAGAAGCTCCTGGCTTCAGCTTGGCCCAACCCTAGCCATTGTGGCCATCTGGGGAATGAACCATTGGATGGAAGATCTTGTCCGTCCGTGTTCTCTCTCTCTCTCTCTCTATATATATAAAATCTGCCTAATAAATAAGTAAACCTTTAAAAAATAAATAAAGAACCTTGTTATAAGTTTGGATTTTATCATGTAGTCAATAAAAAAGTAGAGGACTCATGGAGAAGTCATCAGTTCAAGCGTGATTTTTTTTTTAAATTTTCTGTTGGTTACTTTATTTTTTTTAATTTTTATATATATTTTTAAATATTTTATTGAGAGGCAGAACCACAGAGGGAGGGAGAGACAGAGAAAGGTCTTCCACCCACTGGTTCACTCCCACTATGGCCACAGTTGAGCTGATCTGAAGCCAGGACCCAGGAGCCTCCTCCAGGTCTCCCACATGGATACAGGGGCCCAAGCACTTGAGCCATCTTCTACTGCTTTTCCAGGCCATCGCAGAGAACTAGATAGGAAGTGGAGCAGCGAGGACACAAACTGGCACTCATGGGATGCTGGCACTACACGAGGCAGTTTTACTGGCTATAACACAGTGCTGGCCCCTTAAGTCTGATTTTTTAAAGAAGAAAATATAGATGATAGCATGGGATATATCTTTTATAAGAAGAGAAATAGGGAAATCATTGAGGGGGATGATGAAGTAATCTGAGGAATCAAAAAGTACAGTATTAAGGCCTTGTTATAACCAGTGGATGTATGATTTACTACAGTCCCTAGTAGAAATAATTGTGTGTACTTGTGGGGAGCAACTGAGACTAGACTAAGTTACTGGAACTAAGACTAACACTATGCATCTGATCTGCCACAATATGGCGCTGAGAGACAGCAAACAACTTCTACACAGCTGCCTCGCCAATTTGACTGATAAGCTGCAGGAGCTGATCCTGCTCCTGATTGGAGGAGAGCAGCGTGCTTGGGCAGCAGAGCATGGATTGGTGGAAGAGGACTATAAAGGAAGAGAGAGACAATATGCACCGGAAACATCTGAGGAACATCTGAGCAGCCCCTGAGAGAGCCGGCCAGCGGTGTGCCGCTCCTCCGCAGAAGGGGGAAAGCGGCGGGGGTGCCGCCCCTCCGCAGAGGCTGGGGAGGGGAGGGCAGCAGCTAACCCGGGACGGCATCATTCCTCCGTGAGTGAGGGACCGGCAGCAAACCCGGGAAGGGCCGGGCAAAGAGAACAGCGCAGGGTCTAGTGTCATTCCTCCGCGAATGGGGGAGCGACATGTACTTCAAAAGATACAGTCAGGAAAGTGAAGAGGCAACCGACAGAATGGGAAAAAATATTTGCAAACTGTGCAACAGATAAAGAGTTGATAACCAGAATCTACAAAGAAATCAAGAAACTCCACAACATCAAAACAAACAACCCACTTAAGAGATGGGCCAGGGACCTCAATAGACATTTTGCAAAAGAGGAAATCCAAATGGCCAACAGACACATGAAAAAATGTTCAAGATCACTAGCAATCAGGGAAATGCAAATCAAAACCACAATGAGGTTTCACCTCACCACAGTTAGAATGGCTCACATTCAGAAATCTACCAACAATAGATGCTGGAGAGGATGTGGGGAAAAAGCGACACTAACCCACTGTTGGTGGGAATGCAAACTGGTTAAGCCACTATGGAAGTCAGTCTGGAGATTCCTCAGAAACCTGAATATAACCCTACCATACAACCCAGCCATCCCACTCCTTGGAATTTACCCAAAGGAAATTAAATTGGCAAACAAACAAGCTGTCTGCACATTAATGTTTATTGCAGCTCAATTCACAATAGCTAAGACCTGGAACCAACCCAAATGCCCATCAACAGTAGACTGGATAAAGAAATTATGGGACATGTATTCTATAGAATGCTATACATCAGTAAAAAACAATGAAATCCGGTCATTTGCAACAAGATGGTGGAATCTGGAAAACATTATGCTGAGTGAATTAAGCCAGTCCCAAAGGGACAAATATCATATGTTCTCCCTGATCGGTGACAACTAACTGAGCACCAAAGGGGAAACCTGTTGAAGTGAAATGAGAAACAGTGACTTGATCAGCTCTTGTCCTGACGGTTGATGTACAATGTAATACTTTATCCATTTTAGGTTTTTTTTGTTCTAGTACTATTGGTTGAACTCTGTAATTAACACACAGTTATTCTTAGGTGTTTAAATGTTAACTGAAAAGTGATCCCTGTTAAATATAAGAGTGGGAATAAGAGAGGGAGGAGATGTACAATTTGGGACATGCTCAATTGGACTTGCCCCATGGTGGAGTTAGAAACATGCCAGGGAATTCCAATACAATCCCATCAAGGTGGCGTGTACCAATGCCATCTCACTAGTCCAAGTGATCAATTTCAATTCACAATTGATCACACTGATAGGTCTAAGAGTCAAAGGGATCGCACAAACAAGACTGGTGTCTGCTAATACTAACTGATAGAATCAAAAAGGGAGAGAACTATCCGACATGGGAAGTGGGATACACAGCAGACTCATAGAATGGCAGATGTCCTAAATAGCACTCTGGCCTCAGAATCAGCCCTTAAGGCAGTAAGATATGGCTGAAGAGCCCATGAGAGTATTTTAGGCATGGAAAGCCAAGACACTCTGGGGGAAAAAAAAAAAAAGAAGACCTAAATGAAAGATCTCTGCGAGTGAGATCCCAGTGGAAAGAATGGGGCCATCAAAGAAGGAGGTACCTTTCTCTGAAGGGAGGAGAGAACTTCCACTTTGACTATGACCCTGTCGGAATAAGATCGAAGTTGGCGAACCCAAAAGGCTTCCATAGCCTTGGCAATTCATGACTAGAGCCTAGGGAGATTACTGACACCATAAACAAGAGTGTCCAATTGTTAAGTCAACAACAGGAGTCACTGTGCACTTACTCCTCATGTGGGATCTGTCCTTAATGTGTTGTCCAAAGTGAAGTAATGCTATAACTAGTACTAAAACAGTATTTTACACTTTGTGTTTCTGTGTGGGTGCAAACTGATGAAATCTTTACTTAATATATACTGAATTGATCTTTTGTATATAAAGATAATTGAAAATGAATCTTGATGTGAACAGAATGGGAGAGGGAGCGGGAGATGGGAGGGGTGCGAGTGGGAGGGAAATTATGGGGGTGGAAAGCCAATGTAATCCGTAAACTGTACTTTGGAAATTTATATTTACTAAATAATAATAAAAAAGAAATAATTGTGTGTAATCCTTTTCCATTGTTTTCTAGGTTTGAAGTCCTGAGTTTTCTCATGTTGTGTTATAATTCTGCTATTGTGTATATGCCTGCCTCATCTTACCAATCGCTTTGTCGGATGGGTTCCAGGTAAGAGAGTAATTATTATTAACCTTCATAGTCATTCATGTATTTGACAAATATTTGTTGAACACATTCTGTGTTCCAGGCATTGTTTTAACTTCTGGTGATACAGCAGCAAACAAAACTTACAGAGCTACATTCCAGTAGGAATCTCCCAGTTCTTATTTCAGCATTAAAGAACTTCTTTCATTCCTTCGTCCGTCCGTTCCTTCCTTCCTTCTGGATTTATTCATTCATTCGAAAGGCAGAGATACAGAGAGAAGGAGAGAGAAAAAAAAAAAACACACACAAAAAAACAGAAATCTTTTATTTGCTGATCACTCCCCAAATGGCCACGGTGGCCACGGCTGGGTCTGGTCAAAGCCAGGAGCTTCTTCTGGGTCTCCCACTTGAGCACATGAGCTTGGGCCATCCTCCACTGCTTTCCCAGGTGTATTATCAGGAAGCCAGATTGGAAGTGGAGTAGCTGGGACTTGAGCAGGCACCCATATGGGATACCAACACTGCAGGCAGAGGCTACTTCTACACCACAGCTCCAGCCCTTAAAGAACTATTTTCCTTTTTAGTGTATTAAATGGAGAATATTATTATGTCCCATAAGTTATGGTTATATCTAAGAGCTCACAAAAGACCTATCATCCTTGGGTTCTTTAAAGATAATTAAGTTTGTAAAAGGAAAGAAGAGGGAGGAAGGAAGGGAAGAGAGGAGAGGGGAAGCAAAATCACCCTTGAGAAGTAGTAACATTGAACGGCCCTTGTCTAGACTGTCCCTCCCTTCCTCCTTCCCTCTCTCCCTTTCTCTCTCTTTCTCTCTTTCTTCCTTTCTTTTTCTTTTTTGGACTAAATAGGAGAGGGAGGAGGAAGAGGTGTGGGAGAGCGGGTACAGTGGGAAAAATTACTATGTTACTAATTTTATATTTATGAGGTACATACAAATAAAAGAACTAAAATTAAAAAAATAATTATTTTATAATTGAACTTGTACTTTAAGCCTAGATATCTAAGTTTAGGGTTGTTTAGTGACAATACCTAATCACTTTCTGGATGCCAATTCTTATAAATTACTTAGAGTACTTTAAATGGTCCTTTATAAGAGGAAATTGTTAGGGAATGTAAATGTTTTCCTTTATTTTTTTAAGATTTATTTATTTATTTGAAAGTCAGAGTTACACAGAGAGAGGAGAGGCAGAGAGAGAGAGGTCCTCCATCTGCTGGTCCAATCCCAAGTTGGCCGCAATGGCCAGAGCTGTGCCAAAGCCAGGAGCCAAGAGCTTCTTCCAGGTCCCCCACATTGGTGTAGGGGCCCAAGCACTTGGGCCATCTTCTACTGCTTTCTCAGGCTGTAGCAGGAGCTGGATCGAAAGTGGAGTAGCTGGGACACATGTCAGATGCTGGTACTGCAGGCAGCGGCTTTACCCACTCCGCCACAGCGCCGGCCCCAAATCTGTTCCTTTAAACATTTCATAAGCAACTACTTCGGGGCCAGCGCTGTGGTGCCAGCATCCCATATGGGCGCCGGTTCTAGTCCAGCTGCTCCTCTTCCTATCCAGCTCTCTGCTGTGGCCTTGGAAAGCAGTAGAAGATGGCCCAAGTCCTTGGGCCCCTGCACCTGTGTGGGAGACCTGGAAGAAGCTCCCGGCTCCTGGCTTCGCATCAGCGCAACTCCAGCCAATGCAGCCATCTGGTGAGCGAACCAGAGGATGGAAGAACTCTCTCTCTCTCTGCCTCACCTTCTGTTTCTGTGTAACTCTTCCACGTAAAATAAAAATAAAAAATTAAAAAAAAAAAAAGAAAAATAAGTAATTATCTCTGTGCTGGAGGTCAGCCATAACAGCAGTTAGCCACGTGTTCCAGGTGTGTGTGTTGAGCGGCACCAAGAGGGAGGTATGCTGTGTGTCCTAGAATGTAATCTTTATTAAATCAAAATTTTTAGTAATTTTGAACAGACCTGAGCTGAAATTTAAATTTGCATTATATAAAATAAATTTAAGTAATATAAATTGGCTTAGAGACAAGGAATGTTTAGTTACAGAATTTCCTCTATAAGGGAATTGTGACTTCATCCTGATTTTACTTAAGGAAACAAAGCTCACCCCCCAAAAATTTTAACTGCTACATTAGTTTTCTGTTGCTGTGTAACAAATAGCCACAAATTTAGTGGTTTAAAACATGACACATTTATTATTTCACAATTTCTGTGGGTCAAGAATCCATACGTTGGGGCCAGCACTGTGGCATAGAAGGTTAAGCCTCTGCCTGCAGTGCTGTCTGCTCTGCTTCAAATCCAGCTCCCTGCTAATGTGCCTGGGGAAGCTCCCCTGCAGCCATGTAGAAGACAGAAGAAGCTCCTGGCTCCTGGCTTTGGCCTGGCCCAGCCCCAGCTGTTGCGACCATTTGGGGAGTGACTCAGTGGATGGAAGATCTCTGTCTCCCTTCCCCATCTCTGCCTTTCAACTAAGGCATGGCTGAGGTGGGTCCTTTGTGTAAGCTTTTTTTTTCTTAATTATTATTAAAGATTGAGTTATAGAGAAGTGGGGGAGGGGTGTCTTCCATCTGCTATTTCACTCCCTAAATGGCTGCAGTGGTTGGAACTGAGCCAATCTGAAGCCAGGAACCTGGAGCTTCTTCTAGGTCTCCTACGTGGGTGCTGGGGCCCAAGGACTTGGAGCATCTTTCACTGCTTTCCCAGGTACATTAGCAGAGAGCTGGATTGGAATTGGAGCAGCCAGGACTTGAACCATTACCCATATGAGATGCCAGTACTGCAGGCAGTAGCTTTACTCGCTACACCACAGCACCAGTCCCTGCTTAAGCTCTTACAAGGCAGTTAAGATATAGGCCGGAGCTGTAGTCTCATCTGTTTGTGTGGGTTTAGGACTGAGGGCTTCAGTGTCTTATTGGCTGTCTGCTGGAAGCTATCTTCAGCTGCTTACCACATGGCCCTCCCAACATAGGTAGTGTATGTCATGGCTGTGTGCCTCTTCAAAGCCGGAGAAGGAGAGAAACTCTAGCAAGAAGTGTTACCTTACAGAACATAATGATGTACACATGATCATGGAATCCCATCACCTTTGCTGTATTCTATTAGTTACAAGCAGCTCACAGGTCATAACTTCAACCCAAGGGGAAGGAATGATACAGGGCGTGAATATTGTGAAGAAGGAAACCCAGCTCCCCTGGTGCGCCAAGAGTCTGTGTGCAACAGATGCTTTGCTTAAGTTCACTTGTGATTGTTATTGGAAGAAAGTGTGATCCAGTTTATAATAAAATTCATTAATTTTGCTAATTGGAAAGACATCAATTTAGTTGTAACTTTGACTTTATAGATTATCTTAAAATAAGTATATTATTTTTATTGCCTGTAATAACATGATTAATGACAGAAAAAGTTCTTGTCTAACTCAGCTTTTTCAAAAGAATATACTGTTTAAGAACTTACTGCCTCTGTGCAGATAAATTTATTTATAAGTGACTATTTTTTGGTTCATTTAAAGAAATCTGCGAGCTCTTATCGGCAACATTGTGACTTTTAACGGAATTTTTTAAGAAAAAAAGTAATGGCATAGTTTAGTAATCCTCAAACTTCGGTTCACATATTCCCTAAAGAATTTTGAAAAACTTTTTTACCCAATATGCTTTTCACTTGACATTTAAAATTTTTCATTTGGGCCTGGCACTGTGGCGTAGCGGGAAAAACTGCCACCTGCAATGCTGGCATCCCATATGGGTGCTGGTTCAAAGCCCAGGTACTCTACTTCTGACCCAGCTCCCTGCTAATGCTCCTGGGAAAGCAGCAGAGGATGCCCAAATGCTTGGGACCTTACACCCATGTGGGAGACCAGAAGAAGCTCCTGGATCTTGGCTTTGGACCAGCCCGGCTTCAGCGGTTGTGGCCATCTGGGGAGTGAACTAGCAATGGAAGACCTCTCTCTCTGCCTGTGCCACTCTGTAACTCTGCCTTTCAAATAAATAAATCTTTTTAAAAAAATTTCTTCTAGACTCAACATTGCAATTCTAATAAATTGTAACTCTTGATAATTAAACATAACTTTTAGAAGCATCTTTTAGTGAAACAATGTAGGGAGTTATTTATGGTACTTTTGATTTAAAATGACCTCACAGTGTTTTTTTCTCTTTTTTTTTTTTTTAAAGATTTATTTATCTTATTTGGAAGTTAGAGTTACAGAGAGGCAGAGACAAAGAGGCAGAGAGAGAGAGAGGTCTTCCACCCATTGGTTCACTCCCCAGATTGCCACAATGGCCAGAGCTGAGCCTATCTGAAGCCAGGAACCAGGAGGTTTCTTCCAGGTCTCCCACGTGGGTGCAAGGGCCCAAGCACTTGGGCCATCTTCTACTGCTTTCCCAGGCCATAACAGAGCTAGATCCAAAGTAGAGCACCCAGGACTCGAACAGGTGCCCATATGGGATGCTGGCACTGTAGGTGGTGTCTTTACCTGCTATGCCACAGTGCTGGCCCCCTTCACAGTGTTTTGAAATGTCTCTTTGTTTTGAGATTGATACAATTGGAATGAGTGAAAATCATTTTTGGGTGTGTGAAGGAAAAAAATGATTGTCAAAGAGGTGGTTAGCTATTTTTAAAAGGTTGCTTATATGGATGTAGCATGCTAGAATGGATTCTTTATGAGGGCTCAAATTTTATTTTTTATTTTTCTGTTCATGTTTTGAGCATAGGCCCAAACAATTACTGGTGTGTGTGTGTATGTGTGTGTATATATATATATATATGGCAGGCACTCAGTAAATATTTGCAAAATGAATAAATAAGTTTACAAGAGCAGAAACTATTTTTATTTAATGCATTAGGAAATCACACTTGCTAAATACATTTTTCCCAGGGTTTGTGTGAGTGGGTTTCCACGGCAACATGAAAAACATTGGAAAGAACTCTGTGGCCGAATAGTATTGGATCCTGAATTTATGGTGCAACTCCTCACAGGCATTTATTATGCCATGTAAGTAATTTGGTAGAATTATGAAATTATATATTTGTCTTGTAATGTTTGGAACTTTTAATGTTTCTCTTTCTTATTAAACACAGCACTGAATTTTCTGCTCCATAATGAGCAAGTTATCTTGTTTAATAAGGCTTCTGTTTAGTACTTTAAAAATACCCAAAATATAGCTAGTCATTTAAAACTGGAGTCTTAGAAATTGTCAGGTTTTCTATATGGAAAACTACATGTGTGTATCTCTCCACAGGTTCATAATCCATGTTTTCATGAATGCATCAAATAAATTATTCTGAATATCATCACATGATAAAGATCAATTTATTTGAAGAAACACCTGTGAGCTACTTGAAATATACTATTTGAAATCTTCATTTTGTTCTTAAAACTGAAATTGGGGCAATTTAGAAATAATGTAAACATTGATATGAAAATTTTTCTCACATCCAAAGTAGTAGGACTTAGAACAATTTAAAAATATTTTGAAGGTTAGAGATATTTGCTCAAGATAGTTAATGATTTGCTTTTCTATAGGTATAATGGACAGTGGGACCTTGGTCAGGAAGTTCTTGATGACATCATTTATAGAGCTCAGCTAGAACTGTTTTCTCAACCACTGTTGGTAGGTTTCTGTGTTTATTCTTTTTTAAACTGTTTGTTTGTTTGTTTGTTGTTTTTTTTGAGAGGAAAAGAGGGCATACAGAACTCCTTCCTATCTGCTTTTTCACTCACCAAATGCATACATGAATTCAGGCTGGATCAGTCTGAAACTAGGAGGCAGGAACTCAAGTTAGGTCTCCCACATGAGTGGCAGGAACCCAACTATTTGAGCCATCAGTGCTACCTCCCAGGGTCCACCTCAGCAGGAAGCTACAATTAAAAGCCTCGGAGCGAAGTACTGAACCTGGGCATTCCAGTGTGGGATGTGGGCATCTCTAACCAGCATCTTAACCACCAAACCAAATACCCACCCCAACCAACTGAATTCTAAACCATCAGTTTTTTTTTAATCAAGACATGTAGTACACAAACTGAAAAAAATATTCTCAGTGGGCATAATAAGAAAAATCCAATTAATATTCTATAGTAAACATTTCGTACTCCTCCCTCAAGCTAAGTAAATCTCAAAAGTTAAATCAACAATTAAAAGACAAATGTGAAAATCCAGGAGTAGAGTGAGCAAGGCAATTTTTTTTTTAAAGATTTATTTATTTGAAAGAGTTACAGAGGGAGGTAGAGACAGAGAGAGAGAGGTATCTTCCATTCACTGGTTCACTCCCCAAATGACCTCAAAGGCTGGAGCTGAACCAATCCGAAGCTAGGAGCCGGGAGCTTCTTCTGGATCTCCCATGTGGGTGCAGGGGTCCAAGGACTTGGGCTGTCTTCTGCTGCTTTCCCAGGCACATTAGCAGGACGAGTTGTATAGGAAGTGGAGCAGCCAGGACTTGAACTGGCACCCATATGGGATGCTGATGCTGCAGACCTGGGCTTTAACCTGCTGTGCCACAGCGCAGCCCCCACTGGACATTTTTTATGTTATGGTGATAATATGGTACAAATCTGAACATCCCTCTGCAGAAGCGGTTTGATCATTTATGTTTGTTTTCTTTGCCCCTCTGTCCTGTGTCTGGCAAAATATCTCAGAAAACTAATTTAAATATCAAAAGTATTAGAAGCACAACATTTCAGTATTGTTTTAATTGCAAAAGATTAAGAGCAGTCTAAATGATTTAAGTTATATCTATTTGATGAAATTATATATTTGAGAATTTATGTTAGAGAAAAATGCTAGTTTTATCAAGTGTAAAAGCAGTATGTGTTAATTTTTTTTAAAGTCTAGGCATCATAGAGGAAGCTACACAAAATACTAATTGTTGTCTAGGTGATTCAGTTGTCAATGGTTTATATACCTTTCCAGTTTTTAAGCTTTTAGTAGTATTTTTATGCTAGCATTTTATTGTTTGTTTACTTGAGAGATAGAAACAGAGACAGCTTCTGTTTGCTGGTTCATTCCCCAGGTGCCCACAGTTGCTGGAACTGTACTAGGCTGAGCCAGTAACCAGAAACTCAATCCATATCTCCCTTGTGGGTGAAAGGAACCCATTGCTTGAATCATCAGTTCTACCTCCCAGGGTCCCCATTAGCAGGAAGCTAGAATCAAAGGTCCAGAGTTAGGTATCAAACCCAGGTACTCTAATGTGGGACACTAGCATCTAGTGTTTGATAGACCAAACACTTGCCCCTGTTCAAGTACTTCAAGTAGTCAATAGTGTTTTTAAAAGCTATTTTGTTTATCATTTTCATATTTTAAAATAAATAGAAATTTGTTGAAGTAGCACTTGCAATAATTCTTTGGTATTTGAATTCCCATTTTCTCTTATGTTGGTATCCCTAATTTTACGCTTAAGGGTTATAAGGATAACAAGGTAAAAAGATAAAAAAAAATCACATCATTGTAAAAAAAAAAAAAACTTGGATTTGTGAGACTCTTCAAATTAATTTATCCCTGCAACAATCTTTTTTTTTTTTTTTTTTTTTTTTTTGAAAGGTGGAGATTTACGGAGAGGGAGAGGGAGAGAGAGAGACAGAGAGAGAGAGAAAGGTCTTCATCCACTGGCTCACTCCCCAAATGGCTGAATAGCCAATCTGGGCCGATCTGAAGCCAGGAGCTTCTTCTGGGTCTCCCACATGAGTGCAGGGGCCAAAGAACTTGGGCCATCTTCTACTGCTTTCCTATGCCATAGCAGAGAGCTGCATCAGAAGTGGAGCAGCCAGGAATAGAACCAGTGCCCACATGGGATTTCCAGCACTGCAGACAGAGACTTATCCCACTGTGTCACAGAGCCAGCCCCCTTGCAACAATCTTATACATTAAATAGAAGTAGCCTTTCCCAGTCAATATAATTGAGATTAGTAAGCTATAGTCCTAGAGTACTTTTTATTAACAATCTCTGAAAAATCCAATAAGTAATACCTGTTTTATGCAAAATTGTCTTAAAGCGATAAAGTTTTTCTTTGAATAGCTCTTTCTCTTTTAAAGTGAACAAGCTTAAGGAATTAGTGGGGTCTATGACTCATGTAGTTACCAGTAATTTCTCATTTGAAGAGCCTGCTTTTTAATCCTTTTAGAATACAGAACAATAGAGATACAAATATTTGATGCATTTATACTTTTAATAGTATAGTACAGATTTTAAGTACATTTTCAAAAATTATGGATAGATGGAACAAAAACTGTATGATGTCTGTAAATTTATATAAATTTTAGGTTGCCAATGCCATGAAAAACTCATTACCGTTTGATGCTCCTGATTCTTCACAAGAAGGCCAGAAAGTACTTAAAGTAGAAGTCACTCCAACAGTGCCGAGGATTTCTCGGACTGCAATTACAACAGCTTCAATCCGCCGACATAGATGGAGGAGAGAAGGTAGGTACAAAATTGCCCTACTTGTGGGTTTTCAGACTGTATTAATATAGGCTATCAGAGTATTCTATATGATTAAAGCAAATTTTTTTAATTTTAAAAACAGCACTAGAAATATAAAATGCTAATGTATATATTTATGAAGTAGAAAGATGTTATTTTGACTGCCCTATAAATGTTAAAACAGAAAATAAGATCAGATTGATTTTTGCCTTTTTATGAACGAGTAATAAGAAAAGAAGTTGCTTTCGGCCTGTTATAACATTCCGGGGGCTGGGGAAAGTGCATGTATGAGCGTTGTGGGAGGAAACTATATAACCGGCCAAACTAACAGTACAATACAAGCTTTTCATGAAAGAATTGAATCGTGTTTCTGGATTTTTATCTTTGTTGTTCCTTTTTGTAAGTGCTGAGTCCAGCAGTGTTTCATAGACATACGGTACTTGAATAGTCAAGCTGTCTTGCCTAGAGAGATATTAATTGCCATTTTAATGATCTCTATCTTTCTGTCCTATTCATTTGCAAACCTCATGTTGTTCATCTGCCACCTAATGTGTGTGCACGTTGTGCACACACATGTAACTATATAAATAGCGTTTGTGTTTATATCATATCCATATATACATTCTCTTATCTGCCTGGGTCAAAATGCTCAAAAAAGAATAGAGCAGCACAAAAGCACTAAAATTTTATATGTTGAATCCCAGATGGCTTTGACTTCTCAAACGAGGCTGACTCGAGTATTCCTGGCTCCCCGATCCAACACGGCTCCACTGACCTAGGGATCAAACGTGTGCAAGAGGGGGAGGTGCTGGTGCGCAGGACCCCTCAGCATGGCTCGCCGGAGCCCAACTCAGCAGCAGCCACAACAGAGGGTAGGACAGAGATGAGGAGACAGAAGTCAGTGAGGCAGCTGATGGGGAAGGACCCTGGCTGTCTAACCCCAAGCAAAAAAATCTTTCCATTCTAGTGTGTGTTTCCACTGCCCCAGGGTGTATTAGCTCCTCATTGCAAAGCACCCCCACCCCTTCCTCATGTGCCTAGCACCAGGGCAGGTACAATCTTTAGTTACCATTTGTGCTGGCCTGGAGTCTGCATCCCTATGTAATCAAAAACAGCTTGGCATGGCTACTAACAAGGCAGGGGCCTGTCTCCAAGAAATCTGCAAATGCTTGGAATTTTTTCATTACTGAGCATGTTTATTCTAACGTAAGGAAACAAACAATGCACCCAGTGGACGTAAGTCTTACTAGTCAGTATGAATGATTTCTTTTATACAATAATTTATTTTTTAAAAATCTGTGAAGAGAGTTTTGCAACAGAAGTCCATTATCTTTGAGAAACTGAAAGGCTGATTTCTCTGTAATCCTAGGGTGTTAGAATTGACAGGATTTCTAATATCTTTGACAGAATATATTGGTATTGGAAGGCTTTTTATAATCTTCAGTTATCTAGGTTTAACCTGTGAACTGCTGGCCTCTCCCCTAAATGTGCTATCCTGGTGCACACTACATTTTATAGATTATTATAAATAATACTTACATAGCTCCTAACTGGGGTTGAAATGTAAAATTTAGAAGTTGGATATCCTAGTAGATCCTTATTTCTACAATGTAGTTATCTCAAATGAGGATTTTTTTTACATGCCCCACCTCCCCACCGTCACTACCATTATCTATAAAACAAGACTTTTTTGTGTGTGAAATGCCTTAGGAGTTCGCTTTGTGAGAAAGGGCACTGTAGCCAAATAATTTTTTCATTATTTAATACACTGGTACTGTGGAACTTTTACAATAATTTATTAAATAAACCATGTAGTTTTAAAAGAGGTTATGTATTTTTTACTTATTTTAAAGACCAAACCAACTAAAGCAGTTAACTTCCATCATAGGGAAGTCTTCTGCTCCTTGGTGCATTAGACATTTGAGCATGCTCAGTAAGAATCTAAATCTACCCTGTGTTCCCTTGCTGATTTGCCCAGATTGACCTTACTTCATTTAACAGTGTTGCATGTGCATGGCGTAGGGACTCAGAACAATTGGTACTCCTAAAGAAATCTTTGTTTAAATAGCTATGTAAGGTGCCATCTCCCTTTTTGTTTTTTTCTGTATCTCTTTATGTTATTCCTAGGAGTCAGTTTTATATTGTATAAAAATGAAAAAAAAAATAGATCTGGAACTCAGTTGTCCTTATTTGATTATCAGGTTATTTCTTTAAATATCTTACATTAATTATTAAAATATCCTATTTTAATGTCCCCTGTCACTGGTAAAATTTTAGTTTCAGGAAGGAATGGTGTGTGTTGTCATAAGGAGAGGGCAATAAGTTTCTTGAGTGTATTTTGCATTTCTAAAAATTACTTTATCTTTTAATTGAGGTTAAGTGTAGTTTTAAATCAATAGAAACTAAATTGATAAGCAATAAAAACCATGAATAGAAAAGTTCTTAAAAATCTTTTTCATATATTTCTTCTTTGGATCATGATTGGTATTATCACCTAGGGAGAAGATTTAAAAATTGTTTTAAAATATTGAGATACAGTTGCCATTTTATTCCTTGAGGCTTTTTAAAGAGAAAGAAGGAAGTTGCTATAACCCATGAAAAATTTTAGAAATTCTGAAGTCTGCTGGAGCTTTTGGATTAACCTACATAATTGACTTTTTTTTTTTTTAAAAAGACAGCCCATTTTTAAATATGGTTTTAAATAGTTTTACAATTAAAATTGTATTTAGGGGCAGGTATTGGCATATTGGTTAAAATGCCTGCATCCCATATCTTAGGAGTCCCCAGGTTCAAACGCTGGCTGCACTGTATTCCAGCTTCCTGCTAGTATGCACTCTGGTAGGCAGCAGGTGATTAATCAAGTGGTTGGGGCCCTGCCATCAGCATGGGAGGACCCGGATTGAGTTTCTAGCTCATGACTTCAGCTTGGCCCAGCCCTGACTCCTGAGTGCATTTGGAGAGTGAACTAGTGGATGGGAGATCTCTCTGTCTCTGTGGTTTTTTTCTCTGCCTTTCAAATAGATATATGGAAATTTATAAAACAACATTTTTACAAAATTTTATTTATTATATGTTGAAATTCAAGAGGGAATATAAGCCCATCACCTTCCTTTCTCCTGATTATCAGGTAACATTCTGTTTGTGACTTTTAAAGCTGGAATTAAAAGTTAATAAACTGAGGATAATACCTGTGATTAAAGTACACTTACTATTCATTATATTGAAACAGCATTTCCTAGAACATAAAATATCAGTAGATTCTTTTGCATGGTGCCTTTTATGTTACCATCATCTCTTTTATGGCCATATTGCTTGGGCATCAGATCTGCATGTAGCCAGATTCAGAAGCTAGCACTAAGTCTCTCAATATCCTTTCCTAATTGAACAGATACATCAAATGATATATTTCTGTTCACTCCCAGTTTTATATTACTAATACTAATTTTCAACTAGTAATTCTTTTCCTAGGTGTTTTGGAGTTTTTTATAGCAATTCTAAGTAAATTACTAAAATATATGAATATAATTTAAAGTTTTTATTTTGAGATACATCATATACAGTTCTTTTGGAGATTTTGAGAGAAGTGGTGTTGGCTGCTACTGTGCATTTTCATTGGCTTTGCATGATAATTAAAGATTATTAAACTGCTGGATATAACAAGGTGCCTTTTGCTTTAAGGATAGCCTTTTTTCATTCTTCTTTAGAAGGAAGAAAATAATCCATATGAGAGAATGTAGCTAAGAAAATATTTTTGCTTTTTCAGGTACTATGTTAAAGATTGTGTTTAAATATTTAATATTACATTTTGTTTATGTAGCCTGTAATATTTATTTAGATTTTTTCCTAACAATTCCTAAACTATAATGTTGATATCTGTTTTGTAGATTCAGATTAAACTTTCTTGCAGTCTGGGAAACATATTTAATGATGTAGCAAATCAGTATCAATTTTGAAAGAAAAAAATGTGTTACTTTCTAAGACAATGTTTATCACACTTTCAGTAAGATAATTGGGCTTCTAGAAACCACAGCTCATATATATTAATATATGCCTCTCTTCTTCCCACAAAAACCCAAGATGGGGATTCTTTTATTAAATACAGTTTCTGCATGAAATGTGATGGGATACTATAGTATTTTGTGATTATGATAGCAATACATCTCAATGCTTAGACTCTAAAACATAGAAGTACATAATATAGAAAACAGAAGTCCTTAAATATTCCTGCTGACTTCCTACCCCTGCTGCCTGATAATATTTTCTTCATATAATTATCAAGAAAATATACAAGCCAGTGAATTATGTCCATAAGACAGAATATGACTGTGAAATTACTGAAAACAATGTAGTTTGGAGTTTTGAGTTAAAAACTTTACTGGTTCCATGTTCAAAGTTTTAGAGGCATGTATGAGCAGTTAGCTATTAAGTTAATACATTTTTATTGTAGTTAAAATGGACTTGGCCTACAGGCATAAATGAATTCTTGGTATAAAGCGGGGTAACTGAAATTGGAAGTTTTCTGTTGCACAGTCTGCCTTGTGGGTTCAAGAAGATGTGAGGAAAAGCTTATTTTAAAATAGGTAGATGTATGGTCACCTCAGGTGAATGACAGAGTATATTACAATGATTTATGTAGACAGAGCATTGTATTTTGCCTAATTTTATGCACCTAAATGTTGTTAGTATATCAGTTATGTTTGTGGGTAGTTTTACAAAAGCTAGATTAATTCAATTAACAGAATGAATGGAATATTAGAATTCTGTGTAGATTTAAGTCCATTCCCCTTAACTGTTTAGGGGAAGAGTTGATAGTAGGTCCATTGCCACCTGTAGTAAACATTACTCAAGAGATAAGTTCAGTGTTGTTATTCACAGCTGTTTCTTACTTGATCTAGCTATTGCTGAGTCTGTCTGATCTATATTTTAGGTGCTGAAGGTATAAATGGAGGAGAGGACCCTATAAACCTGAATGATGCAGATGAAGGCTTTTCATCAGGGGCTTCCCTCAGCAGCCAGCTAATTGGAACGAAACCATCCTCCTCAACTCAGAGAGGAAGCCTAAGGAAAGTAGCAACGGGGCGTTCCGCCAAGGATAAAGAAGCAGCCTCTGCCATCAAGTCCAGTGAGAGCCCTCGAGAGTCAGTAGTTCGCAAGCAGTATGTACAGCAACCGACTGATCTTAGTGTAGATTCAATTGAGTTGACACCAATGAAAAAACACCTGAGCCTGCCTGCTGGCCAGGTGGTGCCAAAAACCAATAGTTTAAGTTTAATCCGGACAGCCAGTGCTTCCTCAAGTAAATCATTTGACTATGTAAATGGCAGTCAAGCAAGTACCAGCATTGGGGTTGGCACTGAGGGAGTTACTAATTTAGCAACTAACAATGCTAATCGATATTCAACTATCAGTCTACAGGAAGACCGGCTGGGTCAGGCTGGCGAAGGTAAAGAGCTCCTTAGCCCGGGAGCCCCCTTAACCAAGCAGTCTCGATCCCCAAGTTTCAATATGCAGCTAATATCCCAGGTGTAGTTTTGCTTATCTTTTAAACTGAACATTTCATTGTTCAAGAAGACACTTCATCCCCCTCTTTGTGAAAATATTGGGTCATCACAGTCAGATTTGGTTTAGGTATCTTCATACTGTATTTTGTATGGAAACAGCAATAAGGCTTTCTTTTTCCCCTTGTCCCAAATCTTCTATTCCTTGTAAATGTGGTTGTGAAGCAGTATAAAATGTTTGCCTTTTCCATGCCTTCCTTTTTCCTTGGGTGATGTGCAATCCATCGTAGGCTGATCGGTCCCATTTCAACACTGTGAGACTGAGGATATGTTAGAGGAAATGGTGTATATGATCCCTATGAAATGATTCTTTGACTTTTGTTTAAAAAGAAAACGGGTTTGTTCTCAATCTATAGAACTATGAAGATTACTGGATCATATTTTTTTCTCTCTTAACCAGGAGTGCCTCAGAGGTTCTGCTATGACTTTGGACTTCTCTGAGTCTGTGCAATCATTTTCTTGAGAAGCATGGGGAAAGATGGTAGACTACTGCACTTTTTCATTGAAATGAGGGTGACACCCCCCCACACCAAATCTCCTTTATCCTGAGGACATAAATGTTCAATTATTGAGGCATGTAAATCAAGTTGTAACCACGTCCATTGGAGGGAGATGCTCTAAGTTGATTGTGTAATTGATAATGCACTTTCTCAATGGCTCTGTAGTCAATATAAACATGTCTTCCCTCTTCCCCACAAGGACACAGGTCATTTCTGTCCTTAAAGTTTAAACAAGTAACAAATCAGAGAATCCAAGGAGCTTGTTCTATTTTCCAGGAATGATTGACACTTGGTGCTGGGGTTTTGTGGGGGAGGGATGATTTTTATTTAGCTTGTGTGTGAGGGGAGGGCTTGATTGAGTTTTTTTCTTTCCTTTGTGAGCTGATGATGACTGAAGTAGAGTAGTACGTCTTCAGGTAAAGAGAGGGATTTCTCAGTCCATTTTCTGTGATGTCAGACAGTTAGAGAAACCCTTTCAGCTGCTTTCTAGATGTACCTAAATTCAGTCATTTTGGGTTAAGAAACCTAAAGTCCTAATAGATCATATACTCCAAGGAAATACATCAGGGACAGATAATTGGCTGAAAACACTGATGCTTCAATGTGACACATTTTTATAGAACATTTCTACCAGGAGGTACTGATTGATTTCTCCTACAAGGACCACACTGCCTTTGTGTTTAATGTAAATGCAATTTGTGTACCTTCTAATCATGTATCTGCAAAGTTTCTCATTTTTATAAAACTTTGAAATCATGCCAGTAAGCTAGATGTTGAATGTATGTAAGCAGCATTTGGTAACTACTAAGAGGCTACAAAAATACATTATTGGTAAAAAAAATTTTTGTTCTGATTTGGTTGGATTTTATTATAACCTTCTGAGTCTCAGGCTCTAATATTTAAAAAAGAAGGGAATATATTGTGTTTTTGAAAATCAGTATTGTGACTTAAACTACTGTAAGTTAAGTTATCCTTCCACAAAATACACTAGGGCTGTTAATGCTCTGTACATTTAGATATTTTTACTTTATTATTGTGAAAGAAAAATACACTGAGTTTATAGAAAGCAAGTATTCTCCTAATTAACAAAATTTAAAATTTTACCTCTAAAAATTAAAATTGTAGTGTATTTTGATAAGTAAAATAGCCAGAAAAAAATGCCTTTTTTTTTAATGACTTCCCCTACTCTTTATTGTAAGAGCATTTTTAAAACTAAGACATTTTCTGTTAGAGTCTTTATAAGAACAAGGAGATATTTGTTTGAGTTTGGTGGTCTATAACATTTTTCATCTAACATGAAAATGGAAAACCAGAACTAGTATCTACAACATTGCCAAAGTCCAAGGTAAAACTAAAAGTTGATGAATAGACAGTTTATTGAGTTGTGTGTGTACATGTAGCATAAAGACATATTTTAGATATCCCTTATTTTAATTTAACTTAGGATGTCAGATAAATGAAAATTAAAAGATAGCCAAAATAAAGGAAATTTGAAAGTTTATAACATACTAAGGATTGAAAAGAAGTTTCAGGTATGTAATGAAAGGAGTATTGTACTAGGGAATTAGATTTTTTTTTTTAAAGATTTATTTTATTTATTTGCAAGAGTTAACTGCGAGAAAGGAAGAGACAGAGATTGATCTTCTATCCACTGGTTCACTCCCCAAATGGCCACAACAGCCAGGGCTGGGCCAGACCGAAGCCAGAAGCCAGGAGCTTCTTCCGGTCTCCCACATGGGTGCAGGGGCCCAAGCAATGGGCCATCTTCCGCTGCTTTCTCAGGCTCATTAGCAGGGAGCTGGATCAGAAGTGGAGCAGCCAGACTTGAACCAGCACCCATAGGGATGCCAGCATCTCATGCCACGGCTTTACCTGCTATTCCACAGTGCCGGCTGGGAGTGAGATCTTTTCACTGACTTGACTTGGCTCGAGTTCAAGTCAACTCTATGACAGAAATACCTACTTTGTGTAAGAGATTAAAAGGCTTTCTAATTCAACAAATCCAGCATGATTTTAATTGAAGAACAAAGGAAATCACCAATAATACCAAATTACAGGATAAGCTATAATAAACACAGTAAAATTTCCCTCTTGTTAGAAATCTTAGGTTATACCTGAAAGGTTGACTTTTGGAATTTTTCATTTTACAAGATTTCACTTATTTGTGTGTGTAGTATGTGTATACGAAAATATTTTATATGTGTACATACCCATTAATGTTTCATGACCCTATATAACTTTTGTTTTCTGTTCTTTCAGTTGATATGTTTGGACCCCAATGAGTAAACATTTCATTTAAAGTTTGCGTTCAGAGTCTTTAAACAGTTTACATTACAAGATATTTTTAAAGTGAATGAACTTAACAAACTGTCAGTCAAATTTTCAAAGTTTTTTGAAATCTATTTGCATTATTTACTGACATTTAATTTAAAATATTTAGCTTTATTTCAGATATACAGCAGCTGTTATATGCCAGAAATATTCATGCTTTATTGTCTAACAATGTTTTGTTTTATACTTCCTAACTTCCATTTAAAAATGTCTTCCCATTTATGGGACAGATATTTAGGGAGAAAATACTTGTTTTCTATAATAACTTAATTTGATTGATGTCATCAATGCCAGAGTGGATTAAGTGATAGAAAGAAATAGCTGAAGGTTTTGGCAACTCTTCTGTATAACATTAATTAAATCTCATGTTACTAAAAACCAGAATGTAAAGTGAAAAGTTAACTTAGAAGTTTTTAAAATATGAAACTATTTTAAGAAGCTGGAGTGGGAGTGGGGAGTAATGACTATAATTTTAAATCCTGATCGCTACCATCATTCTTAAATTTTCAGTTTGTTTTGCTGTGTCTGTTTATTGTCCAATCAGAATTTTTCTGCTAGAAAGCTTCCCCACCGCCACTACCACTACCAGACAGGTATACACAAATATTCATTCTCAGGATACAGACTCAAAGAGGTTGTGATGAGATTAAGGTTACATAACTAAGAAACAGAGCCAGAATCAAACTTCGGTCTCCCCTCAAATGCTTATGAAAACCCCTGCCTCTCTATATAAATACTATGATAAATATGGTACGTAACAGTCTCCATTTCTGCAGTTTCCTTATGTGTTTGGTGAATATGGCACATTAAGTATTAAATCCAGAAACCATGTAGTCATAAATATAGATGAGGAAGTATTGGGAATGTAGGTATCTAAACAGATGTAAGGATGAATAGATAACATTGTTCTTTAATTTATGCCTTACTATTTTCTGCCATATAACAATTTTATGCTGCCATTTTATAGTTGATTTTATTTGTGGGGATTTATTTAAATGCAAAATAACCCAATGAAATGGCTTGGATCAGTGTTTCTAGCTATTTTAAAATAACTTTTGAATCAGCCAGCTTTTAGTCACCAAGGTGGCAAATTAATTGTATTGCACAATGGAGTATTGCAAAGTAAAGATTAAATAAGTCAGTTTCCATTAATTTTTAACATAGAAACAGATTGAACCTTTACTTGTGCTTAGAGCATACAGAAGCAATATTTCCATATGTGATTGAAAAAGGCTTATCGTTTGAAGCTTTGGGTTCCATAATGGAACGGTAACCGTGATGTCATTTAAAAGTGTATATACCGTAAAAAATGTCTTAAATGCGGTAGTCTCAGCTATATAAGCTCGATATTTCCAACCTGTATTCTCAAATTCCACTTACTAGCTTTAAATTAATTATAATTATTTATTAGACACTGGAATACTGAGAATAACTTCTTTCATAATGTTTTGTTTGCACTACTTTGTGAATATTTTAATGAAGTGAGGTATTTTTTCCTATCTCACTTTGTGAGGTTTGTATGGGTCTGTTTTTGAGTACTTTAGTTGTTGACAATCAGTTGTCTCATTTAATTCTCTGCATGTCCGTTTGTAAATAAAAACTAGTATCTGTCTTTATGGGTAGTATACAATATAAATACTGGCAAGGAGAACCTCTCCATTTCTGATCTTGGATTACAAAGTAAATTTTAATTTTTTTAAAAAAATAAGCCTTCAGTTCTGTTTTGCTTTTAATTTAAAAAGGTTTCATAGGTCATGTCAGTGATCAGAAATTAGGGCAACTTTTCTATACTACAGCTATGTTAAACAGTCTAAACACGAGACTTTTTTATCTTTCAAGGTGAATGATTATTGCCCTTGTTTCAACACTAAGTTGGTTGAGACACTTATTTGTAATACTTTAATTTTTTAAAAGTGCTTTTTAGAAAAAAGTTGTTTGAAAATTAACTAGAAATTGATAGTGTAAACTCTTAAGAATTAGAATATTTGCCAGATTATAAGAAGATGGAATGCAGTATAAAATTATAAACAGTGCTAATAAAATCATGATGAGTCAACAGATTGGTACAATTCTCCATGTCAAGGTAGTCATATTTATAATGTAAGACATAAATTTAGTATTACCTCTGTTGTGTGTGTCTGTTGGGTATATTATATTGGCACTGAGAACATACACAGGAAATGCTATTCATGGAGTATCATCTCTGCCCATGTAGGCACATTCTTCCTAAACTTGACCACATAACCACAGACTTTTTGTAATGTCAGTCTCTTCAGTATTTTTTAATCTTAGCTGTTAGTCTTATGAGTCCCATGAGAAATATACACAAGAGCAAACAATTCAGGATAGAAGTTAGCAGAAAGCTGAGAATGATGTGAGAAAACTGGCAGCATAGTACAGAAATCTAGGTTCTATGTTTTATTTCTCAATTTTGAGAAAACATGTTCATAATGTTTACAAATTAAGGCATATTCATATGTCTGCTAGTATGTTTAATATAGACTACCAAAAATTATATTAAGTATAGCTTAACGTATAAATCCTTTTTTTAAAGTGTGTATTTGGAGTTAGATCTAATAAGGAAATCTTATTTTCAAAGAGAAGTGGAACTAATTGGACAACCTGTACTTCCTGTAGTTGGGTGTACACAACTCAGTGTTAATTATATCAGAGGAAGTTCTTTAGAGTTCCTAATGGTTAAGGATTGAAGCTCCTTTATAAAGGATTGCTTTCTAGCCCTGCAGAAAATAAATATTAAAAACTTTTTTGACCTAAAAAATAAGTATACATACAATAGCTACAAAATTCCATCTGATGTTTTGTTTGTCACTAAACTGTCAATATTTAATGCTTCCAGCAAAAGTACCAGTTAAAAGTCAAGTCCAAATATTAATCCTTATAGTATATTTTCATGTCTCCTTTAATTAAGGCCTCTACTCATCAGTATTGAATGGGGAAATTTGCTAAAATTGTTGTGAATTTTTCAAATAAAATTGAGTAGGAAATTATAGAAATGCATTTCTTTCAAAGGCAATGGCAGTTACTTCTAAGTTTTATATTGGTTAAACTGGTATAGTTTGTTTACATAATTTATGTACATGGTCATTCTGAGTACCTTTTTCTTTTCAGAAAAACATTTGGATAAGAAAAGCTAAAATAGTCATTTTAAAACTATATAGACCATAAGGACTAATGAGTTTATTTAAGCTATTAAATAATGATTTGGTGGTGGGGGAAATAATGAAATATAATTGTTAACTAGTGTTCCAAATATGTTCTTTGCATTGCCTTTAATATCAAGTGACAGTTAAAAAAATAATGATTTTATTGATGTGCTATTTTGGAAAGAGAAGCTTGGCTTTTTAACAATCACTGATAATGGTTTGGTTGGTTTTTTTTTGTTTGTTTTATTTTTTTTATCCAAACTGAATTGAAATATGCTCCATACTCCATGTGATACTTTTAAAATATTTGTAATAAGTTCTAATCTACTTTGCATTGAATGTTCTGATCCTTATTCTAAAAATTATGCTGGTATTACATTCAACTTAATGGTTAAATGAAATGGTTTTATGGCACAAAGATTATTTTTCCACTATTTTTGTCATAATTTGGCTCAAATTTCTGAAGAAGTCCTAATACTTTGTCACTAAGGAAAGGTAAACAAAAATCATCTCACTTTGTATGTTTGATCCATAGAAGGATGTGTAATGTATAGATCAGCTCTTTTTTTTTTAACCAGTACAAGCTTTATCTTGGTTTCCAAGTAATCAGAGTGGTGCTGGTGAAAATTTAAATGTATAGGCATTTAGAAATTATATCTATTGGGCAATGTCCTTTCAAACTAGGACCAGTGAAAGCCTTCATTTTTTTTCAGAGCTGAAGGGGTAAAAACCACACATTTAAGATCATATTTATTGGTGCATGTAAGCCATTATCCTGTCTTACTGAACTGATTAATGCTGTTGATTGTTGAAATGTGAACTGTAGCTACTGTTGACCTTGTAAATATCTGCAAGAGATGAAAAAATATTTTAAGTTATTGTAAATAAAGATGTATAAAATTCAGTATCAGTCTGCAATGCAGAAACATCTAAGATGTTATATATTGTGTTTCTTGAGAGATGTGTAATATTCCTTAGATGTATCTAGTTACATTAAGATTGTAAATTTCTTTTTGTACAATATAAAAATACACCTTTATTTGGCTTTTAACTGTATTGCCTAGAGTTGGTTTTATCTTACCTGAATTTTATACGTTAAAATGGTCTTTTCACTATATTTTTTCCAAAGTATGTCATTTTATTGATGTATATCTGAATTTTTAATATACATCACAACTCCTCATTAAATTAAGGGAGGGACTATATAAAATTACATATAATACCACAAAGTAAGAAATAACATGAAGGCAGGAATGAAATTCATAGACAACATGCCATACATTTCTGTGTGTTAAATTGTAAGGACACAATTTTAGTCTTAAACTTTATTTAAAAAAATTTTTTTCCAACCCATATTCCTTGTCCCTTTTTTCGTTTTTTTAAGTTTTGAGATAACATTTTAAAATCACATTTCAGTAAAAAGGCTTGATACTTCACAGAATAAGTTTAACAAGTAAAAAGCAAAAAGACTATAGTGGGAATATAGACAACAGCTATAAACAATGATTGAATGGAAAAATATCTGTTTCACTGATACACAGTAAATTTTAATCACAGATCATTAAAATTGAAGTAGAGGACCGGCGCCGCAGCTCACTAGGCTAATCCTCCGCCTGCGGCGCCAGCACCCCGGGTTCTAGTCCCCGTTGGGGCGCCAGTTCTGTCCCGGTTGCTCCTCTTCCAGTCCAGCTCTCTGCTGTGGCCCGGGAGTGCAGTGGAGGATGGCCCAAGTGCTTGGGCCCTGTACCCGCATGGGAGACCAGGAGGAAGCACCTGGCTTCTGGCTTTGGATCTGTGCATCGTGCCGGCAGTAGCGGGCCATTTGGGGGGTGAACAAACGGAAGGAAGATCTTTCTCTCTGTCTCTCTCTAAAAGTAGACCATACTTTTAATATTTATTTATTTGAAAGAATTACAAGAGGGAAAGAGAGAGAAAATCTATCTACTGGTTTACTCCCCAGATGGCTGCAACAGCCAGAACTGGGCCAGGCCAGGAGCTTCATCTTAGTCTCTCACATTGATGCAGGAGCCCCAGGATTTGAGCCATCTTCCACTGCTTTCCCAGGCACATTAGTAGGGAGCTGGACCCCAAGTGGAGCATCTAGGATGCGGGTGCTGCAGGCAGCAGTTCTATTTGCTGCGCTACAATACCGGCCCTGAGAGTTGGATCTTACTAGAGGTAGATATAAACTGCATGAAAAAATGAAGCCCTAGTACCCAAGGCACACATAGTCATTAATTAACTTTTCTTTGTATGCATATACAGTAGTTCTAATTATGTACCATACTTGGAGAAATTAGAAATAGGCTCTCTGTGTTTCGCATGAGGAACTTAAATTGAGAAAAGTTGGTTTAGAGAATAATAAAGCAGAAATTTTTTTTTTTTTTTGACAGGCAGAGTGGACAGTGAGAGAGAGAGAGACAGAGAGAGAGGTCCTCCTTTGCCGTTGGTTCACCCTCCAATGGCCGCCGCCGCCCACAGCGCTGATCCGAAGGCAGGAGCCAGGTACTTATCCTGGTCTCCCATGGGGTGCAGGGCCCAAGCACCTGGGCCATCCTCCACTGCACTCTCTCTGGCCACAGCAGAGAGCTGGCCTGGAAGAGGGGCAATCGGGACAGAATCCGGCGCCCCGACCGGGACTAGAACCCGGTGTGCCGGCGCCGCAAGGTGGAGGATTAGCCTAGTGAGCCGTGGCGCCGGCCAAGGGACTGGTTTCTTCTAAAACCCACTGGAAAGGTCAGTCTTTCGGCAATTTACCTTGGGGAACAGTTTAACGCTCATTAGGAATGAAAACATTGTTTATGGCCAGGTCATGCTGACCAGTACACACTTAGTTGTGAATCATGGTGTAACTTAACTAAAAACACATAAGTAAGATATTGTAGTCTCTCCAATTCAGTAGATAATTCTCCAAACAGGTTTTCCCTGTTTCCTCAAAGTGAAATAATCACAGAATTTTAAGGAACCTATAAACTTATTATTCTGTTATAAACAATGGCTCTAGAAGTACTAAACAGTATTAAGAACTATTTTCTAAAGCTAGTTACCTGGTAATTACTGTGTACATTTTTTAAGGCTTACTCTACTAAATTATTCACTACTAATTTGATGAAATTATCCTGTACATGCTTTATGGGAGACTCACTGGTTTACCATCCCTGGTACAAAAAAATGTTGGACATAAACCAGATTCTGGCTGCCATATTCTTTGATTACTTACATATTCAGAAGTAATAACATTTTACTTCTTGAGCACAATTGAAATCACATTGGCAAACTGAGAAAAATTTTTGAGTAAAAATAATTTGTTGAAATATCTGCCACTGACATTCCAAACTAATTGAGCTTTTATCAAATGTATGTTTAATGTGTAACACCTAGGTCATTTCATATCTGACAGAATAAGAATTCTGATGACCAGATCCCGTTCAGAGAATGGTAGGAAGTTCTGGCATCAGTTTTAAAGTTCTCCAGGTAATTCACACGTACAATCAGAATTTAAGACTCTGATAATCTTTGTCATAGCTAAGTTTTTTTCTCCACATCCAGAACCACTGACTCGAGAACTTTTTTCCTAGAGAAATAAGTAATATATGACTTACGTGTAAGTTATATTATATATAAGGGTGGAATCACTACTCCCTTGCTATTCTCATGGTAAAATTGGGAATTCCTACAGAATGGGGCAGGTACTTTTGACCTTGCTAAAGGTAATTTTTGTGGAAATTAATAACTACAATATAAGAAGTTTTGTTCACCTATCACATAATTATAACGCACCCATAAATAGACCCTCCATATCAGTGCTTCAGTCTGCCTTCTCTATTCCCTTACCCATAGCCACTGATTACTATAGGTGTCAGTACAACTTGATTGGCCTCAACTGTAGGCTCCTAAAACTTTGAGATCATTGGAACTTTTTTTTTAAAGATTCATTTATTTATTTACAAAGGCAGAGTGACACAGAAAGGAGGAGCGAGAGATCCATCCTGCTTCAATCCCCATACAGTCCCAACAGCCAGGTCTCAGCCAGGCCAAAGTCAGGAGTCAGGAACTCCATCCTGCTCTCCCACATGGGTGTCAGACGCCTAAGTGCTTGGGCCATCTTCCACTGTCTTTCCAAGCACATTAAAAGAAAGCTGGCAGGGCCACTGCCTGTAGTGCTGGCATCCCACATAGGCACCGGTTCAAGTCCTGGCTGCACCGCTTCTGATCCAGCTCTCTGCTGTGGCCTGGGGTATCAGTAGAAGATGGCCCAAGTCCTTGGGCCCCAGCACCTCTGTGGGAAACCCAGAAGAAGCTCCTGGCTCCTGGCTTTGGATCAGCTCAGCTTTGGCTGTTGAATTGAAACCACTTGGGGAGTGAACCAGCAGATGGAAGACCTCTCTCGACTTTTTTTTTTAAGATTTTATTTATTTGACAGGGAGAGTTACAGACAGTGAGAGGGGGAGACAGGAAGACCTTCCTTCCATTGGTTCATTCCCCAGATGGCCGCAACAGCCCGATCTGAGCCGATCCAAAGCCAGGAGCCAGGTGCTTCTTCCCAGTCTCCCATGCGCCACGGAGCCAGCCCCAGTCTTTTTTTTTTTTTTTTTTTTTTTTAAGATTTCTGTATTTATTTGAAAGAGTTACACAGAAAGAGGAGGAGAGGCAGAGAGAGAAAGGTCTTCCATCTGATGGTTCATTCCCCAGTTGGCTGCAACGGCCGAAGCTGCGCCAATCTAAGCCAGGAGCTTCCTCTGGGTCTCCCACGTGGCTGCAGGGGCCAAGGACTTGGGCCATCCTCTGCTTTCCCAGGCCATAGTAGAGAGCTGGATTGGAAGTGGAACAGCCAGATCCTGAACCAGTGCCCACATGGGATGTTAGCGCTTCAGGCCAGGGCGTTACCCGACTGTGCCACAGCACCAGCCCCTCAAATAAAGTCTTAAAAAAAAAATTAATGGGAAGCAGAGTAGCTGGTACTCTAAACCACTTGCTGGCATTGCAAGCTGTGGGCTTAATCCACAGCACAACCCAAGGTTCTTCTATCTTCTTTCTCTTTCCCTTCAATCTTTGTACCAAAGCTTCATTTTTTTTTTTTTTTTTAAGATTTAAAAGCAAGATGATTTAGCATTAGTGACTTCCAGCAAGAATGGCATGGGGGTGCTTCAAGAGAGGCAAAACCCAAAGGGGCTGGTGGTACTGGGGTTTTTAAGCACAATTTTGGGGAAGAAAAAAAAAAACTTGACATTATTACAAGGCATGGACAAAACCCATCAAAAGATCTGATCTGCAATCTTATTTGCCCTTTTTAACTTGCCATAAAACACAAAAGCCAGCCGGCGCCGTGGCTCAATAGGCTAATCCTCTGCCTTGCAGCGCTGGCACCCCGGGTTCTAGTCCCGGTCGGGGCGCCAGATTCTGTCCCGGTTGCCCCTCTTCCAGGCCAGCTCTCTGCTGTGGCCAGGGAGTGCAGTGGAGGATGGCCCAAGTGCTTGGGCCCTGCATCTGCATGGGAGACCAGGAGAAGCACCTGGCTCCTGGCTTCAGATCAGTGCAATGCGCAGGCCACAGCACACTAGCCGCGGGGGCCATTGGAGGGTGGAACCAACGGCAAAAGGAAGACCTTTCTCTCTGTCTCTCTCTCTCACTGTTCACTAGCACCTGTAAAAAAAAAAATACAATAGGCCGTCCAAAAGGGTGGGTGGGATAGGTAAATTGTTTTTTTTTTTTTCTTTTTTTACAGGCAGAGTTAGACAGTTGAGAGAAACAGAGAGAAAGGTCTTCCTTTTTCCGTTGGTTTACCCCCCCAAATGGCTGCTATGGCTGGAACTACGCCAATCCGAAGCCAGGGGCCAGGTGCTTCTCCTGGTCTCCCATGTGGGTGCAGGGTCCAAGCACTTGGGCCATCCTCCACTGCACTCCTGGACCACAGCAGAGAGCTGGACTGGAAGAGGAGCAACTGGCGCCGCAGGTGCAGGTGGAGGATTAGCCTAGAGAGCCACAGTGCAGGTAAATTGTTTTCACAATAAACTGTGAGCTCAGGAGGGTGGAACCACTACTCCCTTGCTA